GTGTTTGTGTGTTTGTGTGTGTGTGTGTGTGTGTGTGTGTGTGCGTGTGTGAGGGTGAGAATGTCTTGAGTGACAGTGATTATGAGTTCACAGAAGTACAGATGAGCAAAGAGTAAATGATAGCCTGCAGAGAAGGAAATGAAGGGAAAAGGAAGATTGCCGGTGCCTTCATTTACTTAACGCCATGTGATAGGAAACATGTGATGAACCGTGTTTAATTCTAACCACAAAATAACTTTATCATTTGGTGTTTCCTTGCAGAACTGGCCTACATCTGCTGCTCAGCCAAACAAAACTAATATCTGCTTTGCATCAGAAATCTAACAGTGTTTTCAGTTCCCGCACATCCACAAACGCATCCCTTAAAAATGAATTGTTTTTCTCATTGACAAGCAACACATCACACTGACGTCCACATGAGAAAACTACTAATGATGGCCCCTCACCTCAAAAGTATTCTGCTTCCTCAAATGATCCTTATTTCATGATATTATATCCTTGCTTAATCTCGTTTTTTTCTCTTAAAATCACTTTCCTAAGTCCTGCAATATTATAGTGCTACAATATAGACATTCTGAGAAGCTTATGAACAGGTGCCATCCTGTGCCATAGACAGCCCTAGTGTGCCATTTCAGACTCTTTAAAGCAATATCTCACTTTTGTAGGACATTTTAACTTTTTGCACACATGCCTCAACCACTGATATTGGCTGCCCCAGGTACCCATAATACCTAATTAGCTTTCAATTTGAAAAATCTAATCTTCTAATCTTCTTTTCTTTAGCACAATTTACACCCATGTGAGGAGGTTTCTTTCTCTCTGTACAGCATACTACTTTACAAGAAGTAATTTTGCCTTGTGCATACAGTGAAAAATACTAGAAACATTATGATACAACACTATGAGATTATTCTTAAATACTTACTTATTGGCAGAAAGTAATATAATATTTAAAGGTTTTCATTAGTGTATAATCACCTGAAAATCAGAATCAATGCATTTTAGAATAAGCTATTTTTAGAGCCTATCCCGTTTTTACTTGGAATTTAATTTTCGGCAGTATATTTTATTTCCTACATGTTTTCCTTGTTTTACATGGTTTAAATTCACTTTAAATTGATTATTTTAACTCACTAAGTTCATCCTCGAGTATTTGCATCAGGTCCCATGCAATGGACCAAATTCTGGTTTAGCATAATTTCCATTCCAACTAATCAGCTAGGCAATGGCATCTGCTCTTGCCAACTCCTGGAAAGTCTGAATCTGTGTGATGAGCAGAGTGGACGGAATGACATCCGGCTTGTAATTAATCTATAGGCATAAAGCAAGCAACGTTATGAGAATGTTTAGTCCAATACTGACAGACTTACTGTTTCATTGGTGTGGCCCTCTGAAAGATGAATTGTTGTAAACACATTTTAGAAGAATGGAACCATGAATTATGTGTAACAACTGATAAAGTTTACTAGATAAACTATGATAGTGTTGCTGTGGAGCAGAAGGCTTGTATGTATAAAACCAGACATTAGACATTTTTAAAAAACAGTTTTTACAATAATTGAACATGGTATTGTCAAGTTGATATTAGTTTTTAAATACCTTTCACTTTTTTAACCCACAGACATACGTAAAGTGACCAATGGCATTGATTTATGAAAATATAAATAAAAATGAGAAGGATAAGATAAGACAATGATGGGATGAAATAAACTATTGAGTACAAAGAATGAGTAACATATTTTTAAATCACTTACCAATCTGCTGCTTTTAACGGTGCTGTACAAATAAAGTGTATTATTATACTATGACTATGAACAAACTTTACCAACTTCCAATATTCTCATTTCAATGTAAAACACTACAGGAAGATTACTTTGATATTCCCTTAAGGATAAAAAACACTATATTGTGTTAGTAAAATGTCATCCCAGATTTATCAGGCCAGCAAACATGACAACAGCCCACCAGCAGTCTTTTTGTGGCCGAGATGAGACATGATCGCCTCTGAAGTGTGAGGACATTTCGGCACCGGCTAATTAATTGTAATAAGGCAGGCTGGCACGTACGTTGGCAATGACAGCCATGGGGAGGGTGGGTGTATGGGTGGTTGGGGGTGCATGGGGCTCGGCTTCGCTACTAAAGCCAGTGTGGAGTTTGAGGTGTCAGACCGCTGCGCTCCAGAGACTTGCTCTGGCACTCACCTAGATACACATCTGCTCTGATTAATCGCCTGCTTCGCCCAGTGCATACATTTCATTATCAGCTTTAAGTGGGCAAAAACAACAAGGATCGGGGCATTGAGCTGTGACGAGAGCAAAGATGAAAGGGGGAAATATGAGCGGAATACACTGGGTGTGTCAAAGATGTGGATTTCCTTCTTAGTGACATTAAATAATTTTGACTTTTATCAACCTCTACTGACAACCAGTTACCACCGATCTTATCTGCTCATACACGAGTCCCTCAACCCTTTCATCCCCTTGAGCCACAATGGTTTGCTATTACCAGTACAATCAATACATACAACAAAAACATCTAGTAAATATATACCAAAAATGAAAAACTGCTTTGTCACGAGAACCTTTTGACCATTTATGGTAAAGTATATGACATATTTTGCTCCCTCGCAGCGTGTTGTTCTAAGAGGGGGTTGCTTAGCACCTGGTTAAGTAATGGTAGAGTCACCAGTATGATCAAAGCTCATATAAAGCATTCACAGATATATTCAATGCAGGTGCTCAGGGTTAAGAGCCGTGTTCAAGGGCAACCTGCTACATGCTTCCCAGCATTCAAAAGGTGGAGAAACTGCATTCCATGAGTGAAAGCAGTTTAGATGAGGGAGCTTTACCCTCCACCACATAACTGATGAAGGATGAACACTTACTCAGGCTACATCCAAAGGTAATTCACCAAGATTCTCTTGTCCATCAGCTCTTTCATTGATTTTACGATTGTTCGTGTCCTTGCTTGTCAAGAGCAAAGCGCCTCTGAGTTTGGTTTTCAAAAATGTAAGAAAAACTCAAAAGAGCATGGTACAAACCATTCCTTGTCACACGGACTGTGTATTTTTTGTCAAGCATATTCACAGATTCAACATAGAGCAAGACTGCCATCCCCTGGCAGCCTCTGTTCATTACTTTTACCCGTACAGACTGTGTGCTGCAGAGGGCACCAAACTTGTAAGAAAGAGCGGAGAAAGAGCCTGGTGTTCAGCCGTCAGAGCACAGCAGTGGAACTTGAAATGAAATGGGTCAAGGAGATTTAGATCTGGGCCATTATTGTCAGAGAGAACAATGAGCATAGACTTTAGAGTAATTGGTAGAAAAGGGTAAGCATTTGTCATGTTAGTTCAGACTGGGTTCTGCGCATACCTAATAGGCTTTCACACAATTTACAAAGGCATATTTGCTTTATTGCAGCCATTGCCATATTTGCTATCCCCAAGTATAATTAATATGTGTCACCCTTCAGTTGCTTGATAAAGACACCCGCTTTCTCCGCTTTAAAACCCCACAGACTTACACAGTAAAGCCTTCAATTATGTTGCATAATTACATTTTTACTCATGCAATATTTCATATTTAGCAATTCTGTTTCAAAACAGATTATCAATCAATCATTAATCTTCTCTTGCTGTCATTCAAGCATCAAAGTGCAAGAATTGTGAAATCTAATTTTAGCCAGAAATTGAAATGTTGAAATGCTGACCTGATGGTGGCACTATATGCAAAGTTGAGGGATCACTAAAGTGATTACATTTCATCATTCAGGGGGACAGAGATGTCTGTTTCAAATGTCACAGCAATCCATCCAATAGTCATTGAGACATGTCACTAAAAAGCTAAAATGTCAACCTGCTGGCGGTGCTGAAGGTAAAGTCAGGGGATAGTCATTGGGCTTCAACCTCTGGGGACCATGAATATCTGTACAAAATGACATGGAAATCCATCCAGTGGTTGTTGAAATATTTAAGTCTGAACCACAGCGATTGATTGATCGACCAGCTAACAGTCCGACATTGCCTCCCCTAGAGCCATGCACTCCATCAGCATGGCTAAAAATAATGATTAAAAAATAAAATAAATACTTTCAAACGGTAGCCCTGTTGACTTGTTCATACACACTGTGGCACTGATCGACAATCATCAATCCAAAAATTGAAGCAAAAACCACATAAACACAGCTAGGAACGCTCCAGTTCCATGAAGAGTTTCAGCTGTATTTAAGTGGTATTACTCTCCTCTGGATGGTATCATTTCTGTGATGATGAGTGTAGGAGTGTACAGAGAGAAACTCCCTGTGATTCAGGAGATCAGATAAGGATGAGGTAGAAAGACACAGCTGACCGAAGACTGTCCCTCTGTGTCTGACTGCCTCCATATCTGCTGGGCAGCCTGTCAATCTGTCTTCATCTATCTCTTTCTTTTACTTTGTTAACTCTCAAACAGCCACACACACACACACACACACACACACACACACACACACACACACACACACAAAACACACACAGTGTCCCCTTTTCAGAACAGATAAAACTCTACATTGATTGGAAGTTACTTGCTTAAGGATACCCAATAACCAGACCCAGGCAAGCTGATTGGCCTTATTGGAGGAGCTTTTCAGGAGGCAGAAACAATCTTACATTTGAGTTAAACCTCACTGAGCAAAGCCCAAGAGCCCCAAGTTTGTGTCTGTCTGTCTGTCTGTCTGTCTGTCTGTCTGTCTGCCTGTCTGCCTGTCTGCCTGCCAGCCCAGAGGAGAAGGTAAGAGGAGAGGTAGCTTCCTAATAACTAACTTTCATTGTGCTTATAAGGCTGGCCTTCTCTATTGTGTATTTGTTGTTGAGTTGATTGAGTCAGAGTCAACAAACACTCAACAACAGCAACCATGCTCATTTCAACTTAATGTTATTTCACTCATTTTAAGAACAAAACAATGACAACAAATCGAAACAAATAAAACTTGACAAAAATCAAATATATTTGCTATAAGGTAAGAATGATGAGCACAACAGGCCTCTTTCATGGCAGACATTTTTACCTAGTAGTAATCATATAGCATACATAAATAAGGATTGCCCTCCATTTACATGTAGCTTTAGCAGTTTCAGGGCCAATAAATACAGACAGTGCAGACAGTGTGGTTGCACCAGGGCCGTGAGATGGGGGATACATAGAGACAGCGGGCTCTCCAACAATGTGTTGGATGCAGAACAGAGTGATTCAAAGTGCCACATCAGAAGTATGCTCAAAGAACATAACATTTAAAGTGTTACCATGTGTTACATATCTCTCTCCATCATGGGTTTTATTTTTATTTGGCAAAATAGTCAGTAGCAAAATATAACAAAACTATATGCTTATTCTACATAAACTATAAATAAATAAATTCATGAATATCTTCTTATTTTCTTTGGTATTTTTTTATCATGCACAGATGCAGTGATAATTGCTGGGTGATATGTATGTTGATGTTGATGTCCAATGTCAAGTCTCTATTTGATCATGTGATGAAATGATATAGGTTAGCTAAGACCCTTCATAACAGCATGCCACTGAATCAGGGCGCTGCCATTGTACCGGCTGCCTCACTGACGCTTCAATGCAACAGAGAAAGTGGTATTACACCTTTGCTTTGATGAGTCAAAATGTTTGCTGAGAAACAAGCCTTTACTATTATAGAGTCTTTCAGCTCCTGCTACTAACTGAAAAAACAGTCTGCTATGTTTTGTATAGTTACTTGTTAACCTAATTATGTGACCCATTTTGTCATATTTGGGCTAAAAGAAAAGCAAATAGACATATTTCCCAAAAATGTCAACCATTTCTTTAACCCCAGAGGTAATGAAATGTACATGGACATTAAACATTCCCCTTCCAGTTTGTTTTCCAGTGTTCCCGGTTGGTTTGGAGGAGACAGACCCCGGGAGAACCACATATACTACAATAAAACTTAAACCAGCTGCTACATCACTGCCTGACTGGGAGCTATTACACCAGCTCACCCAAATGGCACAACAGTGGTTCCAAGACGAGGTGATGATGCAGTATCTCTGGCTCGCCGCTGCGCTTCCGTGCTACGTGCCATTACAAACACAGACACAGCCATGCAAACGAGCTGCTTCGGGCAGATCTCCAACTATGTCCCATGTATCTGTGTGAGGGTCATATTTCTCCATGCTCTGCAGGTAGGTCCCTTCAGAGCAGGAGTAGCCCCCAGTGACGTACACACAGCCCAGCATGGCCACCGCCCCGCATTCTATCCTCCTCTCCTTCATGCTGGCCAGCGGGATCCATTCCTCTGTGTCGGGGTTGAAGCGCTCAGCGAGGGTGGTCTGGCCCCCTACCAGGTACAGGCTGCAGTTCAAAGACACCAGGCACATCCCGTACTCTGCAGGGAGCAACGACATGACAAGAACAGGGATTCAATCTGAACATTTTTATGTAAAGATTATTGGATTATAATGGTTAAACTGGAAACAGGTCCTGTCCGTCTGCGTGTGCAATCAAGAGCAGTTATGTTTTTTACCCCTGAGAAGTCGGTTATTTCAGAAATACATTTGATATCAGAACTACCTGGATGGGGGCAAGTGGTTAGGGTACTCCACTGGTCTACATCCACCTTGTACCTCTGGATCTTGTCGTAGTTACAGATGCCCTTGAAGCCATAATGACCACCTGCCACATAGATGCTGTTTCCCAACACAGTCACAGAGGCATTCCCTACACCTGTAAAAAGAGGCAATAGCATGTCAATTTATAGGCTTATTCACTGGGAAAATTAATTCAAGCTGTTTCCATCTGTTAGCAGTCTTAATGCTAAGCTAGGCTAACCAGCGGCTGGCTGTAGCCACATATAGGCCACATATATATTACAGGAAAGATATGAGAGTAGCCTATATAGATCTCATCTGGCTCTATGCGACATAGCAAATAAGCATATTTCCCATTAAAAGATGTAAGCTTGTTTGCACAAATCCTACAGCCTATGCCAGCTGAATATGACATCTACATGAAACAGAGAGATGTAAAATGTGTAACATACTTGTAGAAACACACCTTGCACCATATCAGCTACAGCCATCCACGTCCTCTTCAGGGGATCAAACATTTCAGTCCGGGGCATTGCTGAACCTCCTCTGTAGCCTCCCATAACATACACACAGCCACAACAGGCCACAGAACAGTGGTAGTACCTGAACAGAGTTTTATGAATATTATTATAAGATATAAAAAAAATACCATGTTTAAACAGTATTGCCAAAATAGAACTTTTGTGTTCTGTAATGTTCATTAATGTAGCGGGGGGAGAGCAAGTAAATTTACACAATAACTGTACTAACAGTTTTGAGGTACTATGAGTACTAAAAAAATATTATTTCCATTTTCCATTTTATTTTATTTCAGACATAAATAATACTTTACCTAGCAGTAAAGCAGTTCATATCAGCTCCACCTCAACTAGCTACAATAATACATTATACAACATTCTGAAAGGGATCGGTCTCCATTATTAGTGCTGTTACTTCTGATACTTTACCAACATTTTGCTACAAATATGTATGTGAAATTTTGAATGCATTTACTTGTGAGTGGGCATTTAAATTAAAACCAGGGGTTGCAGTGAGAGGGGCCATGTTGTTTCAGGTATCAATGAGAGACAATGAAAAACGATCCAGGAAGACGAGGTTGTTTAAAAGACCCAAGAGTTTGAAGGCTTATCAGATAGCAAAACACTACACAGCTGTTTATAATATTATACGGAAGCATTTTACAACTCTGGACGGCTATCACCATGCCCAACATTTTATTCCTTTTTATCACTACCAGATAAATATAAGATATATTATATGGCATTCATGTTACAAAGTAAAATACCAGGAATGTGCACTTCAACATATTTGATTCATCATTGCATTGTGTTCCTGTTGTTAAACTTTTTCACCATGTGAACCTGCGTTTTTGTGTGTGTGTGTGTGTGTGTGTGTGTGTGTGTGTGTGTGTGTGTGTGTGTGTGTGTGTGTGTGTGTGTGTGTGATTGTTTGCAGCTGCTCTCTGCATTGGCGTATCCCCAATGCATCACAAACTGTCCATATGCTGCATTTTTCCACACAGAGCTCACATCAGTCTGAACACAGCCTAAAGGATTTAGTAGCATTGCTACTTTTACTGAAATCTTATTTAATTAGAGGCAGCAAAATGAATAGTCAAACAACTCAAAAACATATCTGACATTTTATCAAAGTACCTGGCAATCAACATGGGCTGCCCTTCAGTCCAACAGTCAGACTCGCTGTTGTACTCCCAGACTGCATCCAGCACCTCAGTGGTGTTGGTTCTGTACCCCCCACTCACATAAATGGTACAGCCCAGTAAGGCCACCGCATAACTCTCCTTGGAGTGATCCGGCATGTCTTCACCCTGCACCCACTCCCCACTCGACAGGTCCCAGCGCTGAACTTCACGCAAAGGGCGCCAATGGTATCCCCCAACTACTATCATCTTGTAGCTGGATCTCATCCTGGTGAAGCTCATGGAGGGCTGTTTGAACATGGGCGTTAAGGTGAGCAAGGACAGAAAGCTGTCAAAGTCACTAAGCTCATCGTAACCAAGCATTTTCAGCAAGGCATTGTTGAGGTTTGCTGGGTTAACGTCCAGTGCCAGGGAGGAGAGATGTTTTGTTCGGATGAGTGGGTCATGACCCAGCCACCTGCCCACCGCCTCGGCCACCACCTCCTGGTTCTCCTCCGCTAGGACAGTCTTCAGGCTGTCAGGATCCAGTTCTAGAAACTCCTCTTCTTGGATTACCTCCTGAAACCTGCAGTAACGTGTCAGTCTAGACATCTGACGACATAAGAATCTTCTACAGAGAAAAGCAATGGCAATCATAGCTACAGTACATGGTTTATTATATCCTAGGAAAGAGCTCTGAAGTAAGAACTGAGATTTATGTCTGCATTCATTTGTTCATGTGTGAAATTTCTTTGAAGAGCCTCACCTTAATGACCTTGTAAAGATCACAACACAGTGGAAACACATTTAGTGACATGCAAAGCAAAAACTGGAATCAAGAAAGGCATTTCTCTGCCTCCAATTTGTCTAAAATGTAAAATATCGACACTGCAAGAGAAAATTAACCAAATGGCAAGAGCCGATATCTGACCTGCCTGCTAGTAGCCTGCGGGCTTCTTTCTCCAGGGTGAGGCACGCGTGGAGCTGGGAGAACGCCAGCATGCCGAGGCAGTTGTCTACATCCAGCAGACGCACCAGGAAGGCCTCGCAGGCCCTCTTCACCGCTCCGAACTGCAGCAGGTCAGCGGCCTTCAGCATGCGTTCCACGTTCAACTGGGTTATGGTGAGTCTGGAGGAGTAGATGTAGTCTACCAAGGCTGATAAGACCTCCACTTCCACCACTGGCAGCCTGGGAGGAGACCCAACAATAATAATAATAATAAGAATACCAAATGAAGGACAAAGAAAGGTACATAAAAGTGTTACACTTCGATCTTTTCAAAGCCATAAATTTGGTATATTTTAGTTACATGGATTTGCATTCTCTTCCACACAGACAACACGTATGTTTTTTACTCATATGTGTCACAAATCACATGGAATCTGGATCTTTGAGTTTGATATGGGCCACATTCAAACAATAATGTTAACAGCCAAACAAAAAAATAAGATCTGAATCAGAATTGCAATGTGAACGTAGCTAAAGTGGCTGAAATCAGAAATGAAAAAAACAGATTCCATAAATACTGAAACACAAAAAAGTTAAAAGTTAAGATATTGGCACATTAAAAGTGTATTGCACCTTTATTTTGGCTTTTTAAACCTCTAAATGTTATTATTGATTTATTCCCCACAAGTGCTCCTGACATCCATTATACAGGGTAATTGGGTGATCACCATTGTTCCCAATAATTTCATCATGGGGGACAATATGGAAGAAAAACCCTGTAAAATGCCTTTTCTCTTCATGACCCAGCTCCCCTGATAACAATTACCATCTGGTCAGGCAGAATACAAGACCCTGGTGACACCATGGTGGTTTCAACGTTTTTTTGTGATAATTTATTGATTCCTTGAAGAATATGTTCTCTCTTTTCTCCTGCCCACTCTCTTACAGGGAGGTCAGAGGTCAGGGAGAGCTGGAGAACAGCCCTGCTGGAGCTGGTAGGGCTTCATTGTCTCTCTAAAGGCCAGTACAGCTCAGCAGATGTTTGCTGACGTTAGCAACACGGGATGTGAACCAAGGTTGTCCCCCTGAATGACAGCCTTTAAAATCTCTAAATCATTACATTTGCAATATGTCCTCAACTGGATAACTAACTGCCAGGAAGGTGTATGTGACGCTGTAAGCCATAATATGAACCAGTATACTCTATGCTGTTATTATTTTGTCATGATTTAATATTTCTTATTCATGCAATTAATATTGCCCTCAGTGCTTTTTATCCACTCATCCATACACATTTGCATACAAGAGTGTCTCCCTTCAATATTTAGTATTGCTTACACAATAAGACCAGGCTTGAGTGGGTTAATGCAGATGATGCAGATGAACAAGGTGGGTCAATGCTGATTGCCTGCAGATGGCAGCGGGGGTTCCAATATGACCGCTTTTAGTCTCTTTAATTGGCATAATCCATCCATGATGACCCCTACCGCTCCCTTCCTCCCACACACTCACACATACCTGACAAGGCTATCAGTCCTCTCCTTCATGTCAGCAGTGAACATGACCCTGAAGTATGAGCTGCGTGCGCAGAGTGCCACCTTGTGGCAGCGCAGAACCTGACCGGAGGAGCACTGCAGGGCGATGTCTGTGAACAGGCCGTCAGAGTAGAAGCCCCTCAGGGCATCCAGGACCTCCTCGGGGTGGCTCACATCATGGAAATCGTATGAGTAGAGATCCTGGGATCTTCTGGGTGACGCAGTCGTAGTCGGTCTGTGGCATTAAAAGGATGGACTCAACAAAACTGAACAGTCATGTCTTATAATAGTCATATTGGATATTATTGTCAGTTTGCTTACTTATGACAGACATTTTAAAAAATTTTGTTCTGCATGTAAATTGTTATTGTTTTCGATGATGAAAGGAAAAAGTTTGGGAAAAAGTGTAGTGTATCAGAAGAGAGGGATGTAAATTACTGTGGTGCCCTACGGTCTCTTACCCCATTCTTCAGTTTGGTGTGCAAATGAGACAGTAGCCTGCTGAAATCAAGGATTGCTCCTTTAAATATTTATCAACACTTCATGCATAATACATGGTGTTATAGTGATATAATGCATATACATGCATCATTTGCGGTGTTAAATTATGGTGTCGAGTTTCTCCTATAGATCTGGTTTCCCTCAGACAGCTCTTGCTAATATTAATTAAGTAATTAACACATGGAAAACACATTAGAAAATGATCAATAGTAACAGGTGAAGCCAGTGACAAAAACTTGCAATACTGCCTTTTGTATTAGGAGTTCTAGCTTTACAACTCGTTGACTTTGGATATTTCCCCTTGATAATGAACTTTTAACCATGTGGTAAAATACATTCTGGAGTAAAATAATAAAAAGTTAGAATTTTCTACACAAAACCATATTTGGGGCATGATGTATCAATGTAAATAGACAATGGCCATAACATACCTGATCAGCATGGTCCACAGGATTCGATCTCGGTTCCACTGATCTTCTAAAGACTTTGCAGAGATAGAGATTTAATTTCTGTTGCTGGCGAAAATAATCGTGACAGATTCTAAGGGTTATTCTTAAGTGACATGGCCTTTTAATTTGACGACGTCGCCCTGCCTTCGGTATAATAACACTGCACAGATGACAATCCGCGTGTCCAGAATGACTTCTGGTCGTGACTTTCAAAATAAGACGCTTGCTTGCGTTTCAGCACATACTTCTCCTGAAGCATGAACCAGTCTTTGGTCACTGCCAGATGATCCAGAGTGGGAAAAGTAACGTTTCTGCCTCTTTATAGTCCATTCCACTACATTTCAGACATAAACATTTTTCAACTGAACAAATTGGTTTAAAGCTGCAGTAATTTTCATACAAATAAGTTCTTGTCATATTTGCTGAAACTTTCATTATATCCTGACAGTCGTACATGAGACAGATAATCTGTGATAAAATCAGCTTCCTCTGGCTCCTCCTAATGCTCCTGAAGGCATTTGCAGGAATCCACCGGGCCTGAACCAAAACAACCAATCAGAGCCGAGAAAGTTAGAAAGATGCTTTGGGTTAGGAGGTTGGAGTTAATTGTCAAGATATAGTGAAAGTTTCAGCAAATATGACAACAGTTTATTTTTTATGAAAGTTACCTACTGCAGCTTTAAGATAGTCAACCGTATATAGAGCAGTTGAAATTAGCCTTTACATTTTACAACATCCAATACTGCTTACATGTTCAACATTTACTGCTATCAATATATGATCAAACTGTAGGCTATAATTTATGTGACACTGACAGTACTGACAGTAGTAAATACTTCTGAACTTTTACTTTGAAATTTTGATGCACATATAAGCACTTATTTTGGAGACCAAGTCGCTATTGTTCCGGTTACGTGCGTCTGCCTTGACACAGCAGTCACTGGTGAGTCTACGGTTCAGTGGTTGGCTCCTAAACTGTGTGTCACCAGCATCACGGCTCAGCTCTGATAATAAAATCAAGCAGGATCACATGCATGCATGCACACTGTCACAGACTGTTGTCAACAGAACTGGAAATGAGATTAAAGACGCTGTAAAGAGGGGGCTGTAGTCGGGGGAGGGTTCACGCAAGAGACCATTAGGCTTGGGCAGATTATAATCAATATTGGGCATATTAAGGTTCCCAAACTCTAGATTTTGGTCAAAATCTTTCAATATTGTTAATCAGACATTTTCCTTTCTAACTTAATCAGTTGAAATTCAGTAAATTATGGAAAATTCCCACAACATTTTACCAAGGTCCAAGGTGAAGATTTTGAATCTCTCACTTTGACAAACAATCCAACACCCCAAAGATATTCAGTTTACAATCATAGAAGACTAAAGGTGTGTGTCCACAGCATCAGTCATTTCCACGCTTTCCATTTGTTGTCTCTGTAAGCAGCCATGCAATGCAACAGGGCCTCACATTGGCCGTTTCTCATTTGTGTAAAGTTGATGTCCAGACCACTTTATCAAAAATGAAACTGCATGGCCTATTTCTCACTTAAAATGTTTTCAGAAACACATTTCAGTGAACCTTATTCGTAATATGAGAGAAAGTTTCCACCATGTAGAAGGGTGCAGCATTTTGTGACTATAAGCAGTATATATGATGGACAGAGCTTCTGGGCCTAAAAAATGGAGCCAACATGGAAATGTCTTAAAACCTGCATTCTATGTAAAAGCCAGCAGGGGGAGCTCCATTGGCTGCGATACCATTCACTCTAATGGAGAATGAGCCGACTTGTCACTTCATGTATTAGCTCAGTAAACTGTTTCCTAACAAGATTATGGTCTCAGTCGCTAGTTTCACGTCTTCTGACATACAGCATGATGTTCATTTAGTACATTTTGGTCCCATTTAAAGTAAAATAGACGATAAAGCCGTGTCTGCTTTTGGGCGTGGCTACCTAATGATTGACGGGTCATTCTCAGTGAGTCTGTCCAGCTCAACGCAACAAACTTAGATCAAACTGTCAAACTAGGTAAAGCAAGATTCTCGTACTGCGTTGCCTATTTCTCACCTAAAATTAACAATAACAATAACAATAGGTTCACACTTGGTCCAAACATGCCCCTGTGGACACGCACCATAAGGAAACCAGCTATAATTTATGAAGCTGCAACTAGTGAATGGTGGCATCTGTTCTTTGACTTTTAATTAATCCACTGCTAGATGTATTAAAACTATGTGTGGAGCTCCTTACCAAGCGAATTAAAATGGATCATTTTATTATGGTTTTAAGGTCCATTGTGTGACATTCAGGAGGATCTATTGGCAGAAATGGAATATAATATTCATCAGTATGTTTTCATTCGTGTATAATCACCTGAAAATAAGAAGTGTTGTGTTTGCGTTACCTTACAATGAGCTGTTTATATCTACAGATGCCATGGGCTGCCTTCCATGGAGGCCACCATGTTGAACCACCATGTTTCTACAGTAGCGCAGAACAGACACTGGCACTAGATAGGGGCAGTCAATTTCTTTTCTGCTTGTTTCGTGGCCACCATGGTTTCTCCTTTGCACTTGGAAAGGGAGGATGAAGAGAGTGAGTTGGAATCTGCAACTACACTAGCACTACTTGGAAGTCTGACTGTTACTGACACGTAAAGCTACAGTTGACTTTGGCACACAACTGGCCCATGACAAGCAAGTAACTCATATCGTACTCATAATTAATGAATGTTTACGGGGAGTTGCACAAACAGGGAAAAAGAGGTTGCTTAAAATGTTCTGAAATGTCTGTTTACACTGTTAGATACTTCATGGTGTGCCTTTCAGCAGAGAGGTGAGAATGTTTTGCACTCAGTTTGTGTGTTCTTATACACATGTGGACAAAAATTAACCATAGCAACATAATAAAAACTTCTTGTGGCCCCACTGTATGCAGGTCAACTGAGGCTGGTATAGGTAGGCAAACTGATACTGCCTTACAATAGACCCCATTTATGTTACTTCAGTCTGGATTTTCCCAGTACACTGCATAATGAATGTGTTGGAGACACAAACAGCCAGTTTATCCAAGTGTAATGCTGTATGTGACTACCCATAAACAGTGATTATAGTTACCCCATCGTGACATACATGCAGCAGTTCACAATATGATGGATTAATGCTCCAGTCATCCACAGACACCAGCTGTTTCTGGGCCCTGTCTCTGGCCTGAACAGCAAAGCTTCTGTGTAAACTTGTCCAAATTTCCAAGACTTGCATCCCAGTCTGACAGCCTCACTGTTGAGCCCGGTTGCTACTTATGCAACTAAGCATCTTCCTTTAATACAGCAAGCCTCATCTAAAGCTTCTTCCCACTGAAGATTGAATTCAGGAAGTAAACAAAGCTTGCTGAGTCTTGGACCATAATACTAGGTTAGATCTTGGGGAAGAGCTGTCTCTCTGAGTTGTTGGCCTCCCTCCCTCTCCAAATCCGTCTTCAAATCCCTCTACATTTGGGCCAATTTTAGTGATGTTTTTTTTTTTCTGCCAGTCTTGGGAAATAATCTTTTGCATCTTCACGGGATGTATCTGCCCGTCTGAAAATAGAGTTCTTCAGTTCACCAATGGTGGAGGTTTTTGAGGCAACAGTACATAATAAAGTGGCATCAATAACTGTTACTAAGTTTTATTGTTTCCAGAGGACGAAGCCTACTGACTGAACTTTCTTCTATTTCACTTATCCTGTGAAATATTTTGCTGGATCGGCACAAAATTGAGTTCAGACATTCATGGTTTCCAGACAATGGATCCTGATGATTTTGGTGGCTTTTCCTCCAGCGCCACCATGAGGTTGACATATGTGGTGTTGGATTAATTACACAGAAATTTGGTTCAGACATTTATGTTACCCTCAGGATGAAGACACGTTGGTCATCCTGTATCTTTTCACCTTGTGCCATCAAGTCAACATTTCTAATCTAATCTAATAGACCTTTTTCACAGCAGCCATTTTGACATGAAATAGGGTATCGTATAAATAGGGTAAACACAGGTGTTAATTATGGTTCTGTACCATGTAGGTCAAACAGAGTCAGGGTGCTGTTTGTTGACACTAAACAGAACAGAACACTATTTCATGTCAAAATGGCTGCTGTGAAAAAGGTCTTTACTTTATATATACTCTATACATACAGATGAGAAGACATTCCCATCAAGCTCAGCTGTACTTTGTTTTTAGGGCTAATTAGCAAATAATAACATGCTACTATGCTTAACTAAGATGGTGAACACAGCAGCCTAGCAATGACTGACTGTGACTGCTGTAATCACATCTCACCATTTCTTGAAAATTAAAAAAATAGAAATACAATTTTTTTTAACTTCACTCTTTCCTTAGTCCTAGTTCATATTTAATCATTAATCTCTGTCCCATTTCCTTGTTACAACTTTCCACTAAACACACATATTACACCTGTTTTTCTCATATTTCCATTATCCTCACTCACTCTCATTTTTTCCTCTTTCAGTTGGCAAACTGTGTCCATTACAGCCATCACCTGGTAACATGCGCTGGCATAGAGGGTTTTGACAGACTGACTGGACACTTCTCAGCAGGTTACACCTGCACTATTCTCCACGACTAATGAAGGGCCAACATACTGTAGTGGTGACAGAGTCTGCATGGCTCCAACGCCCCTTTTAGACATCTAATGGGCTGCATTAGGAGTTTCTAGTCCTTTGTCCACTCCATTTATATATAGAATGCAAAAATTATAGACAGATCTTACAATATAATGCAATCCAACACCACACCATCACAGTTAAATACTGAACTGTTAGACTGTTGTTTCATTGTGTTGCAGTCAGTGAACAGTGCATAGAAAACAAACAGGGATACAAGAGGTTTCTGGTTTTAATTGCATCATTAGAATTACAAGATTAAGAACAAACATAACATTTCACATGTTGCCTCATGACAGTGTCAACACAAATCTCTCAAAGCATGTGTTTCCATGAAATTGGAAACCCAGTACTCTGTCCCAGTGATATAAACTGGCTATGTGAAACCTGGATGAAGTCCCAGGATTAATCCAACACTATCTTCAGTTTCCTGGTTATCTGGATAATATTACTGAATAAACTGGAACTTTCTCAAACGTGTAAAGTGTGGACGGATGTTAAAACAGTGCTTCTGGATTTCACTCAGGAAAATTATTCACAGGACTTAGTACATCTGTGGGCTATTGTAGAAAAACAGAATTTTTGTTCATTTAGCTTTAAAAAATACTTATGGTTTGTGCCATTTAACGGAGCCAACTGAGAGTTAACACCAGATCAATCCAAACCTGGTGTAAACAATCAAGACAGCTTCAGAGATCTGGCTACACACCACAGACTTTAGATGTAAATCAGTTGAAATCACTAAAGGGCAGATGTGTTCACAGGCACAGAGTAGCAAACATTGTCTAAAGAACTCAATATAATAAGCTAATAAACCCTGTTAGCTCAGTTATGTGTCGGTTTAGGGTTGTAAGCAACTGAACTTATTTTTACTGTTGGAAGCGAGGCTTTCAGATGTAAGACTAAGTAACACTAAACAACTTTGACATAGTTTGAAAAGTGTATTAGGCAAGACAGTTTGCATTTTCAATAATTTAGAAAAAATGTTTCAACAATTGAAACACTGTAATTTCTTTAATCTTTATCAATTTAATTTATATTGTATTATATTGCAACTGAGGTAAGTTCATCATGAGGTGGTATGCATTCAGAGTGGTGGCTGCAGCCCTGAGCTAGCTACTGTAGCTATAATATAATCCACCTTTTTCACTGAAGATGTTTTGTCTTGTCGCAGTAGGAAAAGCACAGGTGTGAAGAATAAAATGAGCGATGGCTGAACAAAAAAAGGGACTATTGCCACAGTGGTAATACATAAATAAAGTCATAAAGAGTGTTTGTGTGTTTTATAGTGTTAGTGAAGCAAACTGCAATGGCTTCACACATGACTGAAGTGCTGAGTGACATTTATAAACTCTTATTGAACATATTGTGATGACATTAAGTACTGACAGGGTGGATACAAATGTGGTGTGTTTCAGTGTGGTTGATGAACACCTGCTGAGCTTCATGGTTGAGAGCTGACACCTGGGAATTAGCCTGCAGTGATACTCTTATCTGCTCTTGACCAGAGTTAAATGAGAAGGTCTATACTACTATCAGGTCTGTCAGCTAAATATGGAGATAGAGCAAGGAGTCCATTAGCTTAGCTTAGCACAAAGACTGAAAGGAAGGGGAAACAGCTAGCCTGGCTCGGTCCAATGGTAACAAAATCCACCTACCAGCACCGGTAAAGCTAAATAAAAGATTGCTTCTTTTTCTTGTTTGTTTGACACGGTTTTTTTTTTTGTGAAGATGAAAGACGCAAATTCCAAAAATGCACTGCAACATTGTTTCATGGGTGTAAATGTGTATATCCATTTAAATAACAGTATAGATTGGTTTATTTTATTTTAATTTCCATGTTATTCTAGGAATTCAATTCTCTTTTTCTAGGTGTGCAGGACGAAAGAACTGTAAAGCCTTCATTTCATTATACAACTTTGTGTTGTATAATGGTTAACATATTTCCTTGGTTCATTGTTTCGATTAAACAAACAAGAAAAAGAAGACATGTTGTTTAGCCTATAGGTGCTGGTAGGTTGGTAGGTGGAGTTCTTTTACCTTTGAACAGAACAAGGCAAGCTGTTCCAGCCTGTTTCCAGTCCTAATGCTAAGCTAAGCTAGGCTAATTGGCTGCTGACTGTAGCCTTATATATTTCGTGTACAGACAGGAAGGGGGTATCAATCTTCTCGTATAACTCTAAGCACTAAGTTAATGAGCAAATTTTCCAACTGTCACTTTTAATGCGCTAAAAAACTTAAAAAAAAACTTTTAGGGCAGCAGTCCCCATACTTTCCAGTCAACCAGATCTTGAATATTATACTAAATATAACCTTATCTGAATTATGATCCACTGTCAAACACACACTGCATGCGTAAATGTTGTTTTTGTAATGTATTTGTATTGTAACTGGGCTCAGATGCCTCCATATCCCACCTCAATCACTGAAACCTTGTTGTCCTTACTGTTTTCAGAGATAAAAGTTCCTGCAGAAGAATCATCACTTTTAAAGGATTTGTAATTACATGAAAATCATTCCACCATCAACATTTTCGCTTTAAAAATTAAAAATACTGTCGTGATAATAAAAACTACATTTTAAACAATTCTGGGGAGCAGCATATTCCCTCTACAGTGCAGACTCTATATTTGCCATAAGTGCAGTATCTCAGGTACCGCTGATAGGCCGCGACTACGACTGCATACTTGCTTTCAGTTCCTCCAGGACTTCAGTGCCGCTGCTCCAGGCAATGACTTTAGCTCTCAGAGAAGCCTTGTCTTCCTGACCTTCCAGTCTGGCCAGCAGTTTCTCCAGGGTGTACCCCTTCCTGGGCATGGCGACATCATGCCCCCTCAGACAGGAGGTAGGACAGAGATCATTCCCACCGTCCCCCACGTAAAATATGCGCTCGTACTCCACGCCTCCATCAGCCTGCTCCGAGAGATACAGCTCCAGGACCTTTTTCTTACAGAGGTTGACGGGGCATCGGTCGCAGTCGTGAGAGTGGTAGCACTGTACCTCCATGTACCCGAGCTCGTTGAACTTAGCCGGGTTGGTGAAAACCTGATCGACGGCTGCCTGGAGTCCGGATGCGCGGAGGATCCAGTCTATGAACATGGTGTTGGAGTCAGAGATGACGATGCAGTCGATGGTGCTTTTATGCTCCGATATGAATGTCAGCAAGTCCGTCATTCCAGCTGTGAAGGGGATGGTCTCCATCACACTGCGGACCCTGTCTGGACTGACCTCCTGGTCTCCTGGATGGACAGACAGAGAAAAGGTCAGGAGACAGAAGAACAGGCAGGTTGGAGGGAGCGATAAAATGTTGATGTACAAACATTTTGAGTCGCTCTGTGGATGGCCTACAGACAGGATAAGGAATTCTCACCTATGTAGTTCATCACTCTGCCCATGAACTCAGTCCAGTGGCCTTTTCTGTAGGAATTCTTCACAGAGTCCGGAAGAGTCTGACCTGGAAGGCATCTGGGGCGAGAGACAACAAAGAAGATCCACTGTGGATTAAGTGGTGATGTTGCTTGTAATTAAAAGAATAATACATCAAATATTTCCTATACTGTAGTGATCCTAGCAGTGTGGTTTCCAATGTCCTAGTATCAGTCTTGTAGCAGGTCAGTGCTCCTATTCATTTGCATACATTTTGCAGCAGTAAAGATCTATACTTAATGTATTTTACAGTGATTATCCATTGAATCAATCAATATAGTATTTACCTAATCACCCAAGTGTCACTGTTGTCATCGACCACAGTGTGGTCAAAATCAAACACCATCAGGGTCTTCATTTTCCACCTGGAGAAGGAAGTAAGAAGCAATTGTTATTTTAGAAACAAGAGAAATAACTAAATAATGATTATTATGTAACATTCTGGTGCGAGACATTAGGGTCTGCTTAATAAAATGATGTTGTTGTATGATCAGTTGTTCTGCGTGTTACAGCAGCTTATCTTGTACACTGTATCATCCAACTGTCACTTCTCACCAAATCGCTCTCCTTTATCGGCCGATTGTAGCACAAGACCGAAATTAATCATTATATGTTGAAAGTTATTTCATGTTCCCGATAAAGGTTAAGTTTAAACTCACTATGCTTTAAGTGACTTCTTTTTTAAAAGAAGTCTGGTGGAACTTCGTCTCCTTACAAGTAAACGGCCTCGCAGTCCGGCTACTCCGTCCTCTTCAGTTGTGCTGCAGCGGTTCAGGTTCAGGTCAGGCTCAGGGGGAATAACAGTGCTATCTACACCGGCCTACAGCCAGGCTAACAGATATATAATATAAAGACATACTGAGACAGCAATCGACCGCAAACTGACCTCAGCCCGCCTTACATCAGCCCACCGGTCTGTCTGTCTGTCTTCCTGCTCCTCGTCTGTTTGTTACAAGATGTGCAACAGTTCCGGGCTCATTACCGCCACCTACTGGTGAACTGTGTGGAGTCTTGTATAATAACTAATGTTAATAAAAATACACTTTATACAGACATTATACTTACTTAGATATTTTTATGTCTGTAGTAGGGTTTGGTAAAAAAAAAAAAAAAAAATCAATTCAATTCAATAACATTGCCAAAATTAGTTCAGTATATTTATTCAGACCAAAGCACCGAGGCGAGTTTGCACCTGTCTGTTTGTTTGTTTACGTTTACGTTTATTTTGAACGTGTAAAAATAAAAAATAAAACAAAAAACAAGAGAAAATAACAACAACCTTATACACATACCCTATAAATAAATCATAAACAACAGAAAATGTAATTAAAAGGAGGAAGTATGCACGTTATTGCTACTCCTTCTCCGCTTCTTGTCAGTTACATTATAAACCTTACCTCTACATCTGCATCCATCTGCAGCCACTGTGTTCCCGCTGACCCAGAGCGCACCTGAACGCATCAGTACACCACTTCGACCACTGAGTGGCGGGAACACACAACGCGAGCTACACAAAAATCAAACGGAGAAGAAGAAATCCTGTCGGTTTAGTTCCTGGTTCGAAGTCAAGAATCATCCTCTGTTCAGGTTGTTGTTTTTCCTCCTACAGTTATTTTATTCCGCGCAGTATGTTCAAAGGTTTAGGGACGTGGTTGGGTTTGGAGAGCCCGACGTACACGAAGGCGCCGGACGACAAAGAAAGCCTGAATGTGGAGCAGGAAGAAAAGGTGGTGGAAGCACAAAACGAGGTAAACAAACAGCAACCAGCTGACCAGGATGGAGAACCAGAGGCCGACCAGGAACACTCTGAACAGGGCCAGGGACTGGGTGGTGAGAAACAACAAGTTTCCATATATTATCGTAGTTTTTACCATTAACTCCATTTACCGTCATGCTAGGTAATTAGCAAAGTTGCTTCTCGGTGTCTCGAGGATTTGCTTTTATTCAGCGCGACGTCTGTCTGTCTGTCTGTCTGTCTGACTGTCTGTCTGTCTGTCTGTCTGTCTACAAGAGGATTATGTAGCAGGAGTTGCTGTCTTCTCATATATTTATGTTTTGGCAGCGTTTTTAGTAAGGCTGCACAGTTAATAGTAATATTATCCTAATAACAATATGGCCAAGTACAAGATCCAAATCGCAAGAAGCTGCAGTGTTTTGATCAAATGTGAGACAAACAGCATTATAATGAAGTGCTGTAGTGCTGCAGAGAGTGCTTGGCCTACAAAGCTTCTCTCCAGATCTGAGAGAACCCCTAACAAATCTCATCAGCACAATTATAATAGTTTTTTTTTTTTTTAGGAAATCAAAATTGTGATGCAAAAATGACACTTCCCACTAATCATGAATCATTTAGCAATCACAGTTTTTGTCAAAATAATCCCAATGTGTGTGTTTTTTTGTTTTTTTTTCACCATATCATGCAGCGTTCGTTTTTAGTGACAGTCCCACAGGCTGATGCTGTTGTCAACCACACCATTTTCTTACCTTCCTTTTCTGTCTGAAGATTACATCTTCAGTTTTGCCTCCAATGCCACGAAGAAGATCTCTGAGTCGGTGGTAGGAACAGCTCAGACCATCAAGAAGACTGTGGAAGAAGGGAAAATCGACGGCATCATAGACAAGGTATGTGGCCCCTTTGGTTGGTCTGACAAGTTTGGTAGCATTCAGAGCTCTGGGTTAATGTGTGAGGTTTTACTTGTTGCAGCACTTTGCTCAAAACAACATAACATTATCATGACAATATCCATTAGAAAGATTGCCTGAGAGACTTTTTTTTTTTACCAAATAATAACTGTTTCCTCCTTTTAACACGTATTTGTATGTGTGTGTTAATATGCAGACCTTTCTAGGAGATTTCCAAAAGGAGCAAGAGAAGTTTGTCCAGGAAAAGAAAGCAAAAAAATCAGGTAAAATCAAAAGGCAAAACAACAATCTTCTTAAGATGATCTCTCCTCAATAGATCTTTATTCTGTTAAAGAACTCTTGCTTTACATGGCAAACTAGCTACCAATGAAGTCACATGTTTTGCACACCATGTCATTAGAAACAGTGTTAGTAGTAATGTTGTAATATGTATTAATACACCTTTATTTCTATGATGAGGTTTTGTAGGTTTCATAAGTACTTAAAGTGATACTATTAGAATCCACTGTAATCTGTGTTAATCCAGAGTGGCGTCAGCTTCTGTTCTCAGTGACGGAGCACTGCGCTTCTTTTTACTGCCACCTTTTAAGCCACCAGGTGGTGAGTGTTTGACACCCAAAAGATAGAATTTATTTTTAATGACGCTCACTTACACACAAGAAAGTAAAAACCCAATATAGTGTAGCACTGTTTGTAAAGGAACATCGAACAAACAGTGAAAGAACTTCAGAAATACAACACCAATGAAAAAGAAAAAGAGTATATGATGAAAATAACTAGTAGGATGCTAGACATACAATATGTAGTGAACATATACAGTATATACAGACGGAAAATCTACCAAGTTATTTGCTAATAGCGTTGCCCGAGTGCCAGGTGGGAAACTGAAATATATTACTTATTTAAAATCCTCTCTATTTCCTGCCTCTTTTTTGAAATACAATGAAATGAGTCAATCAAATGTAATGTATTGAATTGTCCCAACATTGCAGTGTTTCACAGTGAAGTGTGAATCGCACCTTCTTAAAATGTCCAAATGAATTCAGATTCTTCTGCAAGGCCGTATCGACAGAAAGTGTGAAGCAGTGGACTCGCAGCAGAAATGATGATGCCATGATGTTATCAGCTCTCATAGCTTGTGCCGTTCAAACAGCTTCTGCTATCACAGATCCAGGTGTATGCTTGTGTGTATTTTTAGAGATAAGACTTGCGATTGAGTGATGCAACACCTCATTGAAGCCTAGTTTTGTCAGATGTACTTTGTATCCATTTTTCACAATATGTGACTGAGGTGTGTTTGTGTTTGTGTTTGTGTGTAGAAGCAGCAGTGCCTCCCTGGGTCGGCTACAACGAAGAGGAGACGATCCAGCAGCAGATCCTTGCTCTGTCAGCCGTAAGCAAAGACATCATACGCTATATGAATGTGTCGACACGTCTGTGACATTACGTCTGTCTTTGATCAATACATCCTTCTGATCATCTCTGGAATAATTAGCCCTTTGGTGTTGAAACCGAGCTCTCTGATTGCAGGACAAGAGAAATTTCTTGCGAGACCCTCCCGCTGGTGTTCAGTTCCACTTCGACATGGAGCAGATGTATCCTCTGGCTGCAGTGATGCTGGAGGAAGACCAGCTCCTCAACCGCATGCGCTTTGACTTGGTTCCTAAACAGTCAGTAGTTTTCCAGCATTGTGTGTGTGTGATTGTGTGCACAGTATGCATTGTACACCGTGTGCTTGTTTCAGCAGCTACATTTACCTGTGCAGTCAACAAGAACAGACGATGATGTGTTTGTGTTTGACAGTGTGAAGGAGGAGGTCTTCTGGAGGAATTATTTCTACCGGGTGTCTCTGATCAAGCAGTCGGCTCAGCTCACAGCTTTGGCAGCCCAGCAGCAGCAGAAGGACGGTGAGGACAGAGGGGCCAGTGTTTCACCTGAGGACGTCGTCTTAACAGGTCAGACTTTAATCCGTGCTTTAACAGCAGTGGAGATGCTCCACAGGGTCATTTCACCTGTTATTCACATCAACGTGGGCCGCTGTCAGTGCTGCTTTTACAGCTATACATGCAACTCACTCTGGTGGAACTTGTCTGGTAGTCTCACTGTGAACCTCAGCAGCTAGAGGCATACAACTTGTATCAGCACAGAGCAACTGATAAACTGTAAATAGTGAAGGCAATAACTGCAGTGATCTTGACCTTGTGATCAGATAGCAGATATTTTTGGGAAATTTTTATACAGTTATCTCTCTATTTTCTTTTGTTTTTTGTTTTTTTAACAATCATGCATACTTAACAGGCTTCTTTTCTTCTCCCTGATACTTGTTCTGTTAGCTCTTTGCTTGTTATAAATTATCTTAATGCAGAACAGGCCTAGTTTGTATATTTTCTTACACCCCTTAAAATCAAGAAGGCCTTGTGACACCCCTGTAAAACCCCCAGGTTGGGAACCATGGCTCTAAACTATCATTGGCGGTGAAATCTCAATCAGCTATGTTAACAGGGAAACTAATATTCCAATTATAATTATTTTAAAAGCCCAAACAGAATAAAAATACTCCATACAAACAGTAATAATATAATAATAATAATAAACAGGCCAAAACAGATTATAATTTCAGTTGGTTGCAGTGGGGTAGTTTAAACCTTTTCATAAACACATCTCAAGAATAATTATACCATGTGAATTATTGAACCTGATTACTTTATGGCTGTGTGGGTAGGTATGTTTCTCCACTTCCAAAAATGGCAGCTTCCAAACTGAACTGGACCCCAGCAGAGAGTTTGTTTACGGAACAAACCCTTAAAAACCTGATAATATTAGACGGTAAGAAAATAAGAAATAACCTATTCAAACAAGTCCAAGAAAAAAATAAACAATAATAAATAAAGGTTAGAAGTGTTGAACAAACTGAAAACTGCTGGAAAACTTTGTGGAAAAAGTGTGACAACGCTAAATCCTAAAACAACAAACATGGATCCGTCCCCACCCACTCACTGTTTTACAAAAGCATGAACAAATGAATCACTTTTTGCGCATGTACACACCAAACCATATTAGATCACATCCCATCTCAACAGTTGACCTGAAATCTTTAATTAGAATGATTTCAATCAGAATGAAAAAAAAGTCTGGATGTAAGAGATTGTAAATGTCAAAATTTCAGTTTAGAATTAAATCACATAATTAAAATGAATTAAAATCACACAAAATTAAGTTTATAAATGTGCCTTTGGTTCACATTTTACAAATCACTGTGTAGAAAATATACTGTGTACAAAAAGATCAGGTAACAAATAATGTATTTCTTCTCTCACCCTATTTTTCTGTCTGCACCTTATCATATCACCCGTGTCTTGCTCCATAAATTAACCTGTGCGTGCATGGCCTCGTATTCTTAGTCTGCTGCCTATTTACTTACAACGGGCACATAAAGACTGATGTTCCACAACAGGACATGTGGTAAGAGAGAAAAATCTGCTTTGTCACTTTATGTGTCCCTGATCTGTGAATAACTTATTACACCACAAAGATTGCTGTTAGATTTGGACTCATCGTCAGGAGCAGGAGGGCTTTGTCATCTTGGGAAAGAAGTCTGAGATTTGATTGGAGGGCCTGGGAGCAAAAGACTCTGAAGTTGTGGTGTGACTGAGCCCTGTAGGCGCAGCTCGTGTTGTAGCGTCATACGGCATCCGTGCTGAATGTGATGTTAGGAAGGTTTTCATGTGAAAAGTAAATGAGAATCAAGCCTTCAGTTCTCGCCATCCGCATCATCACACCTTCTATACGTAGTAACCTGTGCTGTGGGTTATGGGGAAATCAGTGGGTCATTCAGTAGAACAAAAACCACCTTGTGATTTGCTTATGGAAAACTAACAGCACTTCTTTATCTTTTGTAGACAGCGTCAGACCAAAAACTCCTCCAGTTTCCATCAGCGACATACAGAAGGTAAGGTGCTAAAATGAAGACGTGTGTGGGTGTGAATGCACATCTTCATATTTCCCAACAATCTTAAAAAAAAAAGAACATTACGCTGAGTTTCTGCCCTGTCACTGTGACTCTCAGCCACCGCAAGAAGAAGAAGAAGAGGAGGAGATGTCGACGAGTCCTGGAGTTTCCGAATTTGTGAGCGACGCCTTCGACTCCACGGCCATCAACCAGGAGGACCTGAGGAAAGAGATGGAGCAGCTGGTGCTGGATAAGAAGGACAGCGTGCCCTCTCCTGATGGTTAGCTTTAAGAGTTTCTATTGATTTGTCTTGTTGTCTCTTAGGTAATCACGTCCCACAACTGCAAGTACTTACTGTACTTATCCAGCCAATTTGGATTTAGAGTGGAAGCACAACAGCAGGTTAAAGGATGAGGCTCAGGTGGACATTGTTGCAGCATAATAACTTTATTGTTCCCTTATTGACTGTAAATCTAGAGGAACAGGAATCGTTCATTGGACAGAACTAAGAAAATATAATTACTTGCCTTCTGTTCCAAATAAATGAATCAATAATTATTTATTCACTTCCCGGCATTTTAAAAGTCACTGACAGATATTACCGACTTTCTTTATGTTATAATAGATCATGCTCCTTGTAAAGCGAAATTGGTCCAGGAGCAGCTCAAGAAACATTTTTAAATTAATTGATGACATTCTCCATCAAATCCACTTTATTCACACACTCACATATTCACACTATACTTTCTCCCTACCAGCAGCCTGCATGTTGAAACAGCGCCACCAGCCCATTGACTGTTTGTTGTGGTGGTTGGTAATGCAGCTCTTTTTCCTCTGGATACTGATGCACTGTCAGCGAGGATTCTGTTCTAAGCGAGTGAGAGAATGGTCATAAAAATAAGTCGAGGTTGACATTAGAGCCCTTTAAATACACCTTTGGGGTTTTGGGACCCGCTGAGACACGGATAGTGCTCCTCGCCAGTGATCACAAGGGACATTAGTAAAGATGAGCCCTAGAGATTGCTGGCAAGCGCCGGTACTCTACTAAGGCTGAGGTGGCTTGGGATGCCACTGTCTTATTCGATGCAAAGCGTTTTAATTAGTTTGACGAAAAACACATTTTTAAATCTTGGACATAATGCAGATAATATTTAATGCTCTCGTGAGTGTTTGAAGACTTCAGGCTTTCACAGTAATCTGTAACCTAGAACTGCAACGGATGATTATTTTCCTTGGATTCATCTGCAACAGTAGAAGTACCATCACAATTACCCAGAGTCCAAAGAGACACCTTGACAATGCCTGTTTGGTCTAACCAACAGTACAAACCTCAAAATCAGATAACTAATAGACTAATAATTTCAGCTGTACTGGTATATGTTGTTGGGTAGTTACATTTATTACAAAACATCATATTTTAGAAGCTCTTCTTCCTCTTTTTGTATGCAACAATCTTAATTTGTAAAGTAACCAGTAACTAAAGCTGTCAAACACATGTAGTGAAGTAAAAGGCAAAAGTAGGAAGTATGAAATAAAGTAAAGTACCTCAAATTTGTACATGAGTGATTAGTTACATTCCAGCACTGATTAAATAACTGCCCTGCTCATAACCCTCCCTTTCTTTTACATTCAGATGAGTCAGCGGACTGGGAGAAGGAGCTGCAGCAGGAGCTTCAGGAGTACGAGGTGGTGACTGAGTCGGACAACAAAGACGACCAATGGGACCAAGAGATCGAGAAGATGCTGCAGGCCGACGACAGCTAGACAGCTACTGTGTGTGCGCCTGTCTCCCGCACGGTGATCTGGCCCAGAAGGGATGAGTAGTGACCAGTGATGCACAAGGGGATGAACTTCCACATCCCCTGCCCCACCCAACTGTGATTGCTATATTGTAAACATTCTCCTGTACCTGATGAAGGTGTACATCCAATAATAGCAAGAGTGTGTCACCATGACACCAAACAGCGGTTATGTTCAGGCACTTTAGTAAAGTGCTACTTCATTGCTCCTTCCTAAATTAGTTGCATTGACTTGCTTTCCCCTACCCTCGTGCTTTATGATGGGGGGGGGAAGCCAGTAGAGGGCGCTCCATGAGTTTTATAATCGAAGGGGCTGTTTGAAATCACATTGGATCTGTTTTCCACTGCTGCTCTCTGGTGGCTTGTACAGTCTTAGTATAGTCACAGTACAGTAAAATCCAATGTAAAATTACATGAATGTAAATAAAGAGGATTCTGACACTATACATTACTTCAGCTTGCTTTTCCCTGTCAGTACATCCGCTTGTCTTTTTTCCATTTTGTATCACATTTGGACAAACTCATGTGTGCATTTCTTTACTTTGTTTCCCTGCAACTGAAATACTGTACATTTTCTGTTATGTTATTTCTGTTATCTGTCATCCTTTAATAAATATTTATCTGTTATTGTGGACAATATGCATTGTGTTTAAGGTGGACACAAAGCGCAGGGGAACTAGGTTTGAAAATGATAGAAAAATCAGTTTTGATCAGTGCTGCAGAGCCATAAATTATTTTTTATACCAGTACATTACAAGCTTGACATCGTTGAGCTCCTTTTACATTTAATTTGATACTCCATGAGGTCTGGCCATTCATGTAGACTGAAATTACACACATAAGGGACGAGAGCTGTGTCCTCACGAAAATGGCTGGGTTTCACATGAAAAGTCTTTGTAGAGATCTCTGTTTCTAACAGGACAGCAACACTAAACATATGAGGATCTTACAGAATATGATACACTGATGTTGATCAAACTACCCAACAGTATAGAAAGTTGTTAGAATTAGCTCATGCTGAAACATCTGCAGCAATGCAACATACACATTAATGCAACAGTAATATTAATCCAAACATACTGGGTATAAAGTAACACACTGATTGGGATTGTTTTACTTTTCATAGCCTACTTAATACGTTTACTGAAAGGTAGTGCTGTCTATGTGACCTACATAAACAAACAAGACCATCAGGGAGAAGATGGTCAGGCTTGAAATGATTGAAACGAGGTGGTGGAAACACTACCACTTTTTTCCACATAAAATTCAAGTTCCTTGTAGAGGCTTTAAAGATCCACCCTAGAAATGTATATTATTTACACTAAAAAAATGAATAATTTCCTTTTTCAAATTCTGCACATACAGCATTCAAACAGCACAGTGTAGGAAGAAGAAGAAACACTGATTTTTGAGTGGAAGGGACTTTTTGAACACAGGACAATGACTTGTAGTGGAGTATTTTAACAGTGTGGTATTGCTAAAGTAAAGGATCTGAACACACCACTGATAGAGCTGTAGAAATAATTGAGAATAGAAGATTTGATGGGATCATTCCTGTGTAGGCCACCTTTTGTTATATGTGTATTTATTTTGCTTATCCTGTATGTTACCCATAAGAGACATACCAATAGTACAATAACACCAGTAAATGATCAGTATGACGAAGCAGTTTGTCAGGTGAAATATTTTTGTAGATCCAGAGAGATCCATAATCCCAGTGACCTCCTTACTTGTTTTTGAGTTGGGAGGGTTACTTAAAAAATTTAGTTTAATACAATTACTAATTATCTGTTAAAATGTAGTCCGTAACCTAATCCAAGTATCACAATATTCTTGTTGTATGTTTTTATTAGTGTATTATCACCTGAAAATAAGAATCTTGTTTTTTTACATTAGAATGAGCCATGTTTATCTACAGACACCGCGGGTCCCCTACCATGAAGACGTCCAACATGTCGTCTCGACTGGTTTGAGTCTGGCTTTGTTTGTTGCATGTTACCACCCACCCCTTCCTCCCCCGTCTCTATCGCTCCTCACTTCCTATCAGCTCGTTGCTATGTTGACTAATAAAGCCAAAAAAACGTTAAAAAGATGAGTGATTTTTTGTTGTAGAAGAGATCTCCTCTTCAGCTCATGGCAGTCCTTTTTGCCTTTTACTCCAGATGGAAAGTAGCCCTGTGTTCAGCCCTTTCAAGTGGACACTCCTTCCAGGCAAAGTCCTATTCTGTATGACCTCCAGACTGAATTGATGTGCTCTGAGAGTTTGACATTTAATACATGGTTTACGTGAACAAACAAATGGGAGGGAGTGAGTAAGTAAGAGTGGAATGATGGAAAGGAGGCCTGGATGTTTTGGTAGTAGAAAGTCTGTAATCATGTCAAATGAGACAAACACATAGGTCTTCCTGTGCCAACCAGACAGCCAGACTTGTCTCTGCATGCTCTTTACGTTTCTGTGCGAGAGCGGTGGAAACAGATGGTATGCTGTCTGGAGTGTCGACACTGCTCCCACCACAATAAAGATACTAACGGATGAATTGGAGAATAAATAGTCATTTGCAACTGGCAATCAATACAAGATCAATATGCTAATGTCGGCTGTGCTTCCTCTCTTTGTCTTGGGTTCCAGGTGTGTGTCCAGGCATATAATGGGAAAAACAGAGTCAATGCTGCACGGTGCGCTCCTTCTTTGTTTTGGTTTTCTTTTTCATACACACACACATCACTCCCATCACAGTCAGGGTCCACCAGCTGGTCTCTGGCAAGGACACACACTTGTCACCATGGTGACAAAGACCAGCAGATGAGGACCCGTGTGTGTGTGTTTATTGCTTGGTTTAACTATCTTTTAATAATGCATAAAGGTGTGTGTGTGTGAGTGTGTGTGTGTGTGTGTGTGTGTGTGGGTGTGTGGGTGGGTGGGTGTGTGTGTGTGTGTGTGTGTGTGTGTGGGGTGGGTTTCTGTGTGTACGTCTAGCCCACATAGCCTGGAGATTTTCACGTCTGTATTCAGACAAAGAGACACAACAGAAAGAGGAGAGAGATAATCCCCCCTGAAACAAACACATCACAGAGTGTGTGTTTCTTGTGTAGCATTCAATATGCTGTTAGGCACAAATCCTCCAAATCCACCCAACCAGTTGTTTTTCTCATTTTCAGTGTTTCACAGTATTTAATGGTCAATGCAAAATTATCAATAGACTGCCGGTATACAAAGGGGAAGGAACGTTCTTATAATGAGGAAGTGTGGGGAAAAAAAGCAAAGATGAAACAGAGAAAGAGGGAAAGGATCAGAGTTGTTGGACTAAGGGGGTTGAGAGTGTGTGAAAAGAAAAGCGCTGCATGTCTGCTCAGATTACCTGAAAACTGTGTAGAGAGCATTTTCAGCACCTTTTGGTATATTTCTCACCTTACCAGCTGGACTACTGGGGGGTTAATACAGCATACAGTACAAGTCTATGTAAAAAGAGATGTGCTCTATTTCCCAGTTGGAACTACTGTAAACAATACAATTACTGTTACCATTGTCACTACCATTAGAGGGTGAAAATAAAGACTTGTAGCAAACCTTGGACAAACATAATAATCATTCAAATTTTATACGCATCTGAAATTTGTGGAAGGACCAGTGTGGGATTTATCTAGCGGTGAAGTTGCAGATTGCAAATAACTGAACACAGCTTGCGTCTGTATTTGGCAACCTGGGCATGAGAACGGATTGAGAAACTACTGTGGCTTTGAAATTTATTATTTTCATGTTAAAAAAAATCTAGACCTAAAATGAAAGGATTTCCTGTCACTCGTGTGAACCTCTCGTTTTTAGTTGCTATAGATATGACTGGTCTAATATGACAGAGGGCACTTTGATTGCCTAACATAAACTTAAAACTTAAAGCTTCTACAAGGAACATTTTGTGTTGATTCTAAGGACCCCTGGTGACAAAAGCCGTAGTGTTTCCGCCCTCTCACTTTATTGATTTCAAGGGAAACCCGACCCAGTGGCAGGCATTAAGAATAGCCAATCCTTTTCCATTTTGTTTGTTTGTGTAGGTCATACAGTGACATCAATATTAAACTGACTGTTTCATAACCAGTTAAAAACTCCTTTGCTTTTACTAACTTTTAAATTAACTGCAGTAACTGATTCTTTAAGCTCTCTCTCTCTTTGGCTTTGACCTCCTACCTACAACCACACCTCACTAAACCACAGCAACCTGTACACTGACAGAAATTAAATAACCAAAAATGGGACCAACAGACACCCACTGCAAAGAAAGTCACCTTAAATATGAATGACTGCATGCAAACCCCTGTAAAGCTGTTGTTTTCATAGGGAATGCTGGCCTTCCTCCTTTATGACTGTTCTGTAAAGTCATTTAAACTGTAGAGGGTGTAGCCCCGAGACCCCAAAAGGCTCTGAGACTATTGTTGGTGAATTTAACAAGAAAGGGCTCCTGTGAGTTCTCCTCCACCACGAAAACACGGTTGAGGTATTTGGAGGATTTTGAGTTTAGGTTTAAGAGTTTGAGAATACATAAAACAAGAATTAAGAGAGTATGGAATAATGGATTAAGGGCAAAGTTCAGTTGGAAACAGGATTATATTTAGGTAAAAAAATACTCCTTGCATGTAGCGTAGCACGATGGAGTTGTCAGCGTTGGTCCCTACAAGTGCAGTAATGCCAACGTGTTTTCCCATACACAATGTGTCATTGTTAATACCTTGGGCAGCGTCTCACTCTAAGAAGGTGTGTGTTTCCCCTCACAGCGCAGAGAGCACAGACCACATTAACAGCTTGATATTTATCCCAAAACAACACATGTGACGGATTTAAGAATGTTTGCTTTTGTATATTATCCTTCTGTTGTTGCTGGTGGGAAACCATGATAGCAGCATGATAGATCAACTACAAAGAGCTGCAAAGTGCTGCGTTTTATTTCCTGTCGCACTCACACTTGACCGCCCGACTTATTACTAATGCTTGACACATATTAGGCCACAAAAAGAAAATTCAAGTTCAGACTGGCCATATTTGGAGCTTTTGCCAGATCATGACACTGCGCACTGAGGGGCCAATAGGACATTTTTCACTACTGACATGAATTCACAAACATTTTCTGCTCTGCTGCACCTCACCCTGTTAAAAGCACACCTAATAGTTCATGTATTACGGAGGGGCCCCAGTCATCCACAATGTCTGCTATGGTTTTTACATGGAGATGGTTGATAAGATCACTAACTTGTATAGGCTTGAGGGTTGTCTGCTGAATCCAACTCCTCTGTGTCTCATGCTCTCGCTTTTTATTAGTTCTTTTTCCTGTCTCTCTTTTTTGTGTCTCTCACCTGTTCTTCAGCCTGTCTTTCCCCCTCACCCTCTCTGTTCTCACAAACCTTACAGCAGATCTGTCACAAATGTATTGTCACTTTCGTCTTCGAGCGTAGTCATTGTGTGTGTGTGTGTGTGTGTGTGTGTGTGTGTGTAAATCCAAGCACACCTGTCACCACCGAAACAGTGGGCCCTTTATTACCCAAGCCCACACAATTCAACTGACAAATCCTACTCCAGACAAACACACGCACATGCATGCACACACTCACACACACACACACACACACACACGGACAGTTGAACAGAAGAGAGGAGCCAGGTGCTGAATGGACCCATTTCCTTCTCCACCCACTTTCTCTCCACATTTGTTTCCTGTTTTTTTCTCTCACTGAGATATAAGTTGAAATTGAAGTGTAAGGTTTTTAGTGGAAAATGTGCTTTAAATTGTTGGGTAAGCACGAACAATGACTTCAGATAACACTGTGGGTTTAAACATTAACCAGCTTTCACACTAGCATCCACAAGTGCGTCATGGATACTTTTGTGCAAAGCAGAATACAAATACAGCTCAAAGTCAAGTTGATTTCAACTTTATTTCTGGGACAAATTGCATTAGCAAGGAAGCACCGCATGAGAAGTCCTACTAAAGAAATATTTATCATTTCAGATCAAATGCAACCACAGAAGGCCTTTGCACATGCACATGTGCTTATCTTGCAAAAAGTTTCTTTTCTTCTTTCTACAGTGTTTGGTTCACTTCTAGAGGCCAATATCAGACATTTATTGTGGCGCCATTAGGAGCTTTATGGACAAGAGAAGAGCCATAAAGGTAACTGTAATGTTTACTGAAGGACTTTGTAACCAGAACAGATTCTGGTCAGACTAATTCAGAAAAAGCTGTGGAATAGAAGATCTACTTATAAAGGACACAACACGTTCTCAGTCTACGGTATCATGACTCCACCAAATACACACACAAAGAGAATTGTTGGTTATCAGCTATTATTGAAATAAAGAAGAAATAAATGAATGAATAACATATTGACTACAGGGGTGTTGCCAATTGAACTTCCTTATTAAAGGAAGCAATTTATGCTTTGCTTTACAGCTGCTTGCTTAAAACCCGTTTTATCGATTTCAGACTTCACTCAAGGGGCTTTATGTTTGCCCGACAATGCTTGTTGTTCTATTGCAGCTATCAAGACAGTCTCTTTTTCCTCTCCCAACTTGCAATGTTCAAAGCCTACTCAAGGCAAAACTGTGGTCTGTGGTCACATATGAAACCGATAGATGTGCCACCTGCCTGTAAAATATAACACAATCTTGCTTGCTCATCACTGTCACAGAAAAAATAAAATAAAGGAGAGTGGCTTTGGAAAGGCAACTGACTGATCACACTTTCCCTCATCTCATGCAGACTCTCCTCCGAGCTGCACTGCGCCCAGACCCAGACAGTCTACACCTCCGCTGCCTTACAGCTGTAAAGTTAGAAACAGGTAGGAGAACCGGAAAATGACCTTTCCTTCTAAATAAAAAACGCAAATACGATGGCTAAATAAAAGCAAAGGATCGTGCATTCAGGTGCAGTAAATGTGCAAGAAATGAGAACATCTGATGTATTTGTTTCTCGTAAAAAACTGGTAATTTTATAGCAATGGTTAACTGCAACATACGTATCATAGGTACAAATACGCCTGCGCACTCAGGGGGTTTGGACTGAGATAATTATAGGGGAAAACCAGGGTCCTTTGAGCAAGGTGGGCAGTTTTCTACATGATTCAAAATAGCCCGTTGGTTTATTATGAAAGTCATTACCGGAAGCTGCACTCCTTCATTGAAGCTGCCGCCGCTCTCTGTTTCGCTCACACTCCGCTCGCGCTGACAGTCTGCCCCCGGGTACAGGCTCTCTGGGACGGATTCAGTCAACGCTTCAACCCGGCGTCTGGTTCTTCGGACTTTCTATTTTTAAGATATCTTCAGCAGTCTGCACTGTGTTGAAGACGTCAGAACTCACCTGAAAAGCAGCAAGTGAACACGAATGAAGTGTTTTTTTTTCTCTCCCTCCGGTCAGCTTCAGTCGGTGTATGCTGAACGAGTTTGAGCGTCCATCTCAGTTTGTCACTTTTTTTGAATTTCTTGCTGGGTCCAGTTCTGTGGGTGAAAGTTTTAACCGGAGACTTTGAGCATCAAATAGTCCTGTAGTGTACCGGAGGAGAGCAGAAACCTCGACAACTGACAGGATAACTAGCCGAGGTAAGCCTGTGGAAGAATACTAACAATTATAAAACAAGCTAGGCTACAACATTATAATGCTAGACTGTAATATATTGTATTCATTAGCACCTCCATTAATGGCCTTTTGACCCATTTAGAATGTTCTTATGGTATCACTGTTAAATTGTATTTTTATTCAAGTTTTTCTTTTGAAAAAAATTAATATACTATATAATATATAATGAGGTGAATCAGGTGCTGGATTTGATTTAAATCAGCATGCAGCTACATACCGTTGTAAATTGATTATCTGTAATAAATGATAAAATAGCCTGGTTTGTATTCCTCTATTGCTCATGTTGGCAACACCCCTGTAGTCAATATCTTATTCATTCATTTATTTCTTCTTTATTTCAACAATAGCTGGTAACCAACAATTCTCTATGTGTGTGTATTTGGTGGAGTCATGAAGGCATCCTTACCATTATCTACAGTAACACTAACAGGGTTGCACCGAGGCTTGTGTATTTGTTTCTCTGCGCTTACCAGCCGACCTGTACCAAGAGACAGTGTTTTGGTTCATGCTGGAGTCAAAAGGCAGAGATCAGAGACAGGGAGTAGGAACTCTATTGCTCTGCCTTGCTCTTGTCACAGCGGTAGTATGCGGTTTCCTGGCTTTACCTCGTGAACAATCAAAAGACTTCACTCGTTAAAAAAAAAAAAAAAGTGTGAAAAGGCTTTGGCATTGCCCATATTTTGTTTAATCATTTGTAATCTAGCACATGCAGATCAGATGAGCACTTGATGTTTGAAACTGAAAGTGTACAAATGACAGAGTCTTTTTTTCTCTTGTCCCTTGAAATGCAAATATTGCAATAGATGTGTGACTCATGGCAGAAACGACTTCATTTTTTATAATGAGGAAAAGAAACCCCCCTGATGGCAAAATGAACCTTGTCACCCACACCCAAGGGCACACTGGGGGTGATTTGGGCCTTATTATGCTGGCTTTGTCTGTGCATGTGTCTGTGTGTGTGTGTTTATTGATTTATTCATAGCCCGGAGGAAATATTCAAGCATTCCACCTGCTCCTCCAATTTCCTCACGGAGGACGCCAAGATACAGAAAAAGGAACACGTACACACTCGTGCACACTGTATCACTATGGTGCTATCGCGAAGAATGCAAGGTCCTAACGCAAATGTAGCCTAGGGAACATTCCACATCAGCCACATTACATCTAGTCATCCACTTGAAACTTGAAAAGTTTCAGTGCCGAGGACTTTGCTGCTCATTCCTGCTTCGTCACTGCTCTGTGGGGGTTTGTTTTAGTGTTTGCTGCATCTGGTGAGAAGAGAAGTGTTATTATGAATACTTTCAATTACATGTTATGAGTCTCACTTTCAGAAGCTTATTTTAGCAGCTGCTCAGTATATGACTGTAACCTGTCGTTTTCACACACAAGTCCTGAACTGCTAATGGTACATGCTGTATATCAACATGTCAAACAGCAGCCATTGTGTGCCAGTTGCTTCTTGTATTTTGACTTGAGAAAACAACCACAAATCTTATCTTGTAGTCATGTTGGCAGGAGTGCAAAGTAGGACAGTGCAGTCTTCTCACAGTTGTGCCTTTTGCAAAAATGAATGAGAATGAGGTCAGTGTTTCACTTTACAAAACTGTCTTTTTGCTCAGTGTAGCTTTGTTGCGTTTTACTGTACCTAACATCATGAATTGGATTTTGTCCTCACTCTTGAAAGGAAACTCTTATAGAGGAAAATTAAGTCAATAACTCAAAACACAGACATTACAAACCTTTCACACTAAATGTACTCATTTTATAATTATAAAATATCATTTTTCAAAGTGGCCTTTAACCTCCATACCTGGCCTGTCATTTTGGGTGTTGTGCAGAGAGTGAGAGCTGTTTGTGTATGTGTGTGTACGTATTTTAAGGCTTAAACAGCCTCCAAACCAGCCAGTGATCTTTGACCCTTATTCAAGCCCGCTGTCACTTCGGCTCTAAGGCCTGACAACAAAGAGCAGCTTTTGTTCCTTGAATTACTCTTCCATGCGCATTCTTTGGTCCTCCACTCTGCTGCTTGTAGAGGAGTTGGGTGCATGCAAGCTGAAACTCTTGCAGTAAAAAACACAAGTACACACAGTGTGTACTGTAAATGTGGGGGCAAGATGATGTAAACTTTTCTTTCTGTCACACTTTGTAGTCAGCTGAATGTAAAATGTGCTGTGCAAAGCAACAACTTCTTCCATGACAAAAAATGAGACAAGTAGTGAGGGCAGTACTAACATGGCAGTGTTTCCTCTAGGATTTTTTTTAGCAGCGGTGGCAGGCCCGTCCGAGACCCCCCCCCCCCGTCACGCGTTTTACGTATGAAACGGAAGTGACACCTCTTGACACTACTTGTTGTTAAATTGCAATGTGATGTCGGCAGGATCATTTAAAAGGCAACCGTGACTACATTGTGCGTCTGCCCCATTTCTGATACCGTGGCGGCAGAAATTTAACAGCCGCGGGCCACCGCTCCAAAATCAACATAGAGGAAACACTGCATGAAAAGCGGCCACAGAATATGCAACATTCAAATGCTTTAAAATCTTTGTGAAGGGCAGGAAGTGGTATTTAGAAGGGGTTTTACTGTACTGAAAACAGGTCCTGTACATCACAGCATTTGAAATTAAGATCGGTGCAGCTGTAGCTTAAAAGCCAGGTCAACCTTTTGATTTGGGCTGCTCTCGACTAAATACTAAGCCAATAGTTGACGCGTTTATTAGTTCATAACACCATACAAGTCCTGTTGTTCAAAACACTTACAGTTTTTTCAGGCGGAAACCAATTGTCCTGGCAGTCCATCAAATAGTTAAGACATTTCAATAAAAAATCTAAAATAGTAACGTTGCGGTGGCACCGATGGACAGGTCAATCCACAAAGTCAATAGACCTCAATTATGAGACTTATAAACAGACATCGCTGTTAGAGACACTAAAGGTGTCAAGATAAAAATGTTGAACCTCCGTAAATGCTTAAATGGCTCAGACACTGCTGAGAAGAGTTATCTCTTATCTGCTGCCTGTGTCACACATTTTTTTGGCTGCCATTTCAATGTGCGTGAGGTCAAACAAGACTTGTGAAGATGATTAATATAGATGAGCTCAGCTGAGTGCGACGGTGTGAATCATACGCCTATATGATGCAGAGACGGGAAGACACATGGGAAATTTTACTGGGAAACACAAAGCGACAGAGATGCGGGTCAAACGGGTTACAGGAGGCTGTCTCGTTCACACATGCGTGGGTTGCGTTCACACATACATGCACATCAGGGTTCCTCCATATTATGTGTGGGAGTGACGAGTTTCATGATGACTGTGGGTTGGGTACTGAAAAATTAGATATGCTAAGACTATGGTATGTGAGCAGCGTTCCGGTCTGCACACATGCACACACACACACACGCACACATCCATTTGTACCAGTCTTTGGTCAGTGCCTTGTTCTCACACACACACACACACACACAAGTGCTAGGAAGTGAAAGAAAAGGGGAAATTCTTGTGCTGAATTGATGCCTGGGCGCCGTGCAGGGACAAAAGGCAGGGTGTGGGGGGTTGGAGAGAGAGAGAGAGTTAGTTTACATGTCATGCCAATTCAAGTTGTAACGCGTAAGAGAGGGAAAATATAGTGGCTTGGCCGTCATGAGTGGGATCTGGTCGAGGCTGACGTGAGTCACACATTAATGCTGTGGGTGAATTCACCACCAGTGTGATGCTGAATGACTGTTCTAGAAGATTGTTGTTAAGTTGTTTGTCGTCATTTCACCCTAAAATGTGACAGTGTACTGCTGGTTTGGTCTAAATAGATTTGGACATAGTTTTAAATATGTGATGCTATCACCAAAACTTGTTTAACATTATTTCTAAATACATTATGAAAATATCCTATTTTATATTTATTGTCTTTGTCATTAGATTTTCTGTTGGAGGACTTTAAGATTGAGACATCTCAATCAAAATTCAACATATCTAAACCTTAAATGAAATCACTATGTAGCTTATGTAGCTATAAGTGGCTTTTATTCTCCTAAATCCTAAAATATTAGTTTCTGCTCCTTTGCAGTGCTGGCATTGCCTTACAGGAGTGACAAGCTTACGTTACTGTAAGGAATTTGCATTTTCTGCAATTATCAAAAGTCAGCAAACAGCCTTAGTCTGATCATATTTATTGATCAACAGTGGCATTTGAGTGGTTGTCTCCATTTTGTTGTAGCGAAGAGAACAAAAGCCTAGTTTACTGAAAGAACAACAGGGTATGTAGCGGGTCAGACTACAAGGCTCGCCTGTTGTGCTTATACATTAGGAATATTGAATTCACACCGATGATTACAGATAGGTAATTAGGTCATTATGGGCTACTGTAAGCTATGTATGCTATGGTTCTACCACAGCAACTTTCTGCTTCTCCTAGCATAGTAGGCCACCACTGTACAGTCATTTAGTTTGCTAAACCACTACACTTCTCTACCCCTCTCTGTAAGAGGGTGTACAACATAATAGTTCCTTGTTCATAAAACCACTGTTAAGTCACACCTTAACACCTTTTCCCCAAAACTTTTATTGTATTGCCTTGTATTAACAAAAAACGGAAGTGTAAAACCACAAAGAAAGACGTCAAAGAAGTCATGCTGTGTGAAATATACAGAGGTTGCAGTTTCACACACTCTTCCTGCACTTTCTATATTGCCTTTTAAGGGATTCACATTACATTATTTTGTGTTTTATTTTATGTAATAGTATATTAACAGAGAGATAATATTATATTTTTTCTTCATGTAAGACTCCTCAGAATACATACTCATACCATGTCATATCTGAGTGCTCTTTGTCAGTCAAGGCCTTTATCATTACGCCCTCTATCTGCCTTTCTGAGAAAAGTAAGAGGATAAAAGTACTTCATTTCAAAGTTGGTTGGATAATACATTAATCATACATTTCCAGGTCTCTGGAGTGTACATTGGAACCTGTAAGTGTGTAGTTTATAATGAGGAAGTTAGGTTATTAGTCATCCATTTGGGTGAGCTGAACCATCAAACAAGAAAGAGATTGACTAGCTGGGGGGTTAAAGGGGACTAGATAAAACTCTTATTGTGAAAGCATGGCTTGAATGGGCCTAACAAATCAAATAAATCCTGAGCCAGGATTAATCTGATCTAAAAGGCAACATCAGAGCTAAAACAATCAGACCAATGCAAAACTATTGTGCATGTTTAAAATGTGCAACATTACATTAATTCATAATGCAGAAGATAGAGGCATTAATGATTTATGTGAACAGAGCAACACATTTTAAACATAGACTATGAAGACTGAAATATAAATCCAAAAAGTGGCTCATTAGTAAATGCTAAAAATAAGCTTTGGCAACCAGCGGGCACAGACTCTAGAGACACATAGATGAACTCAGTTCCACTGTTAGCTCAGTTTGTTGCAGTCCTCTAATCATGTCTTCTTGGTTTCAAGCCCAGTTTCAGTTATAATGTTACACATCATGTGAAAAATCAAAAAAAAACAAATGTCAAAAAGGGATATACATCACAAGTAATGTACTGCAAGAGAACGGGTGTAAATGCTGTTTGAATACCATCTTGTTGCCCCCTCTTGTATTTTCAATCACAAATTTAATTTAGTGAAGATATTTTGGTGAGATTGTTCTTCAGTTTCTTGCCCTCAGCACATAGCTTGCCTTGACTATAGCACTCTTCACAGCTAAGACAATAGTGCTGTTTTTTTTGCTGTATCAAAAGAAGATTGCTACTAGAAAAAGCCACCAGCTAAAGGTTAGCAAGCAAGATATCTCCCCAAGAGATTGATGTTAGCACTGCTGGCTTCTGTGTAAATGACTCTAAAGCAGCACATTCCATTGGTCCCTGAATTCATTTAATTACACAAAAAAGTGAATACCAGTGAATGATGAATGACATTTTTTTTGCTTAAACATCCTTCCCTATTTGTGTGTTTGTTTATCAGTGTGTCTCTGTGCGTTGCTCTGTGGTTGTCCAAGGCGTTGGTCCTTCTCGAGTATCAGGCGTGTGTTTCAGTGTACATAGTTATGAGTAGCCAGTTGACCACCCAGACTATGCATCTTGACATTTTCCTTTTGTCTGTTTTTTTTCTGTCTGTTGCTGCTTTTCTGCTTTGTCTGTGGTTCAACCAGTTCCTGTCTGTCTTGTGATGGTGAGGACAACCACGACTGCTCTGTTTCCCCTCCAAAATCTGCATCTGCATCTCTACACGAGTTCTCCCTGTCTGTCACACATACTGTTCAGTAACTCCACACAGTCACAGAAGCAGTGTGTATTTGTTGTATTTTAAATTGCGAGGTGTGAGCGTGTGCCAATGTGTCAGCGCTGTGACAAAGCTGGCAAGAGGGGTACTACGCAAGAATGATGTGAAACTTGAAAGCCGCTGTGATGAAAACTGTCTGGGATGAGTTGGCATCTTCTGTGGAAACAGAAAGAGAACTGTGTGTGTGTGTATATGTGTGCTTAATTGACACGTCTGTCGGTTAACACACATGATTATCATTATCAGTAAGTCAGTGGTTTTTTTTGAGATTTTGAAACTTTTTGCATTCTCTTCCGCTCTGAATACTGTAATGTCTGTTTCAAATTAATATTCAAACATTTAATGTCAGCTACAGTGTGTTTTTTAACACAATTTAACTTGCTATAGAGTGATGGAAAGACTGGATTTTTGATGTGTGTGTGTGTGTGTGTGTGTGTGTGTGTGTGTGTGTGTGTGTGTGTGTGTGTGTGTGTGTGTGCGCGCCAGTTAAAGGGAAAGACTGTTTTCATTGATAACAGCAGAGAAAGAACCCTGTGTGTATTTTTAGCCTGAACTCATTTGTATGCATTGATAAGAGAGAATAGATAACAAAGCAGGCGTCTGGGTTGGAATAGTATCATTAAAAAAATGTATTATGTCAAACCTGTGCCACCTCTAGATAGGACCTTTTTGTTTTATATAGGATGTGTTTTTGCACATAGGAAGAATGGGAGAGATATGCTTGTGTTTCATTAAAGTTTGCCTTTTATAGTCATAAAGCTGCAGCAAATGCAGACATTGCTTTTACAATTAATCCTCCACTTTATCAGACAAGGATTTAAGTGTTGTGATTTGAATTGCTGACTACCTGTTCTCCCTGCCTATGCAGAAAGAAACTATAGATGTGTTCCTCTTTTAAAACTGCATTTCCTTTGTTTCCCTATGGCAGCTGCTACCAATGGAGCCCCGACTGACAGATAATCTGAAGGTTGCGGTCATCCTGATCGTCCTCCTCTCTACATGTAAGATAAACACACTGGAAAAACATCTTTAGCTTAAAGTAGCCTCATATTCTTTCTCACAACTCAAGATATTCAGGAGACATTCAAAAGCAACATTTGATTGAGACTTCAAACATACACCACGTTTCCTCTGTGGGAGAGGAACACACTCATATATTTGTGACTTCTCTGTACATATAAGTACTTGAAATATGTAAAATGAATCTCATTGCCATACAGTAGTGTGTTACATTTAATATATCTGTGTATTATCTAAGTGTAGCACTGTGGCCATTAGGCTCCTAAAGTGTCTCTTAAAACAAGGAAAATACTTTACGAATTATTGTGATGCCAAATAGCATTGCGCACTTTAACACCTGTGAAACATTGTGACCACTGGATCTTCAGTATGTCCAAAAACGTGAATTCAACTTTAAAAGAATGTGTTTGTCCGAATCTGTGGACAGTCCACAAAAACTAAAAGTTATGTTTGTCAGGGTCTCTGTGCAACCTGACTGTTGATATGAATTGTGCATACCGGTAAATTATATTGAGTCATTATCAAATTTCTTCATCTACAAATCCATGTTTTCGTATTATCATACATCTCTTTGTCTTTTGAAAGGTTTCAGAAGGCTTTGAATTTTTTTCTGAATGTCATTTCACAAGTCCAAAATCCTAGTGACCATTATTTGAGCTCATACAAATGAAACAAGCAGATTATACTGTGTCAGAACTAGATTAAATCACTTTTATACGATAAACCTTTTTTGAATGTATGTATGTTGAATGTATGATTTGACATCATTTTGTAACACTTTGTGCCTACTTTTGTCTCCTTCAGGTTCAAGTGAAAATGACCTTGACATGAAGTTTTGCGGCACTTGGCGCCATGGCAAGGGCAACCTGAACCTCAGTGGCAACGTCTCCCCAGGCTGTGATGGCATCTCAATCTCAGCCAATAAAACCACTCTGTCCATCAATGGGAAGATCACAGCCCAGTGCAAGTGGTCTGATGTAATTTCCCTCAAGAAGTTTGGATTTGATTCAGCCGAGGAAAGTTTCTTCTGTCTGTACTGGGAGCCACTGCTGGACCAGTTAAGGCTGCAGGTAAATCAGAAAATGGAGGCAAGATGGGGATTTGTTGAGAAGTACGTTTCCATGCAGTGGGTCCTCACCCCTCACATCTAAAGTCATTTTTTAGCTATCATCTGGCTCAGTAACATGAAAGTACTGGAGAGGGTAGTGCTTTTTTTTCGCTATTTCAAAGCTGGCTCAGTGTGAAAGGATGACATTGACTCATCAGTCTATAAAGTACAAGGTGTGAAAACAACTGCAGTACCAGCTCTGAAAATGAAATGGTCATGTTTTATACTAAAATGTGTGTATGTGAAATGTGTAAGACTCATAATAGTACCAAGTGAAAGGCACAACTTGCAAGAACAAACAGAGTGTAATGTGTACTGTATATGCATCAGCATATGTGGTACAGTAGCTCAATTGCATTCCTCCTTGATGAGTTTAATGGAGGTTGTTTTGTTTTTGTTTTTGTTTTGTTGTACAGTTCAGAGAAAAGCACTTTACTCTGTGCTGGCCTGCCAGCCTGCAGGGCCGCTGCTGCACGGATCTGTCTCATGGCGCCAACACGGCCGAAGCACGTTATGGCATCATCAATGGAACGGTCAAAACTGATCAAGTCACCAGCAAAACACTTATGGCCTACACGTTTAATGGAACATACATCAACTGCTGTAAGGAAGAATGGATGGTTGTCTACAGCACATCTGTAAATGGAATACATTTAGCAAGATGAAAGTTTTATTATATGATTTAACCTAAATTATAAGATTTTGTGAATTATTTTTTGCTCAGTCAGTTTTTCCACCTTGATTGTTATGATGTCCTTCTGTGCAGTCAAATATATGCGTGGAAGGATGAGCTTTAAAATATAAAGTCAACTTCGAGGTCCAGTGTGTAACAATTAAGGGGATCTATTGGCAGAAATGAGTCCACTATGTTGAACCGTCATGTAGCCTATAATAAAGCAAATACTGGCTGTAGATAGGCTGTACACATTTTTTACAGATTTTGCACCACCATAGTTTCTCCTACACACTTGGAAGGGAGAGGCAAGATAGTTATAATCTCACTGTTAGATGCCACTAAATCCTACACACTGGTCCATTAATTCAACCCTCTCCCTCAACTTTAGAATACGATTTGTGTTTAAAAGTCACAGTTTAGAGTTTGTATGTATTATGATATATTAAGAGTGTCAAATTATTCTTTTTTCTGTTTTTTTGCAGCGGAATTATGTGATCAAGCAAGCCAGGGATCCAGCCATGTCAAGATGTAATTTCCTCTCTTTTATCAAATGTGACATCACATTTTTTGTTGAAGTAGCATGATGGTGTGTTTTTTGTCAACATCCTCCTCCTCATATGACTTTGTCTTAATTGCTAAGCCCACTGCTTTATGTAATCAAGTGGCTGAACATCGAGTACAGACAGGAAACTAAGCTTTATACTGTGTTAGGGCGGGGGTTACAAAAATAACCTTATTTATTTTAAAAGGCCATCTTAAACCAGAGTTTTTAACATAATATCATGGTGGTGTGTCTTAATGTGTGTGTCCAGGATCAAAGACGTTATGGAGAGGTCCTTGGTTGAAGCCATTGTTGAGCATCCCTGCGCTCGCAGCTCTGAGGTGGAGATGAAGAAGGATTTCAGAGGCTACAACCTGACATCGCCTGTAAGACACACAAAAGAGGTTTAGAGTTTCATTCTTGAACAGCAGTTGACAAAACAATCTCACCACAAGATTTATTTAGGAGCTCTTTTGGAGCTTTCAATCATAAAATCAAAATTTAAACTGCTGTTTCTTTGGTCGAGAACAAACCTTGAACTAAAGGACTTACACAGTATGGGTTGGGGTCATGTGTTCACCTACACTATAGTCTACACAGGCCACATCAGCAGCATTGTGACCACATTGGTTCCGTCTTACGTACATTTTGCTGCATACTCAGAAGTGAAGCACATTTCCTCTTTGACTCAAAGAAACTGAGCCTAAATACAGTTATTTAAGCTCTTATGCATGTTTAGAGCCATTGAGCAAAGGGTAGGCATGCATGAAACACAGCAGTTCATTTTCATAGGCAATCATTCATACCACTGATTATTTCTGAGTTAATGACCTGATAACTTAATGCCGTTCATATAACTAGTTTTGTCTAGAGAAACAGATTGCAATTGCCACTACAAAAACATTTCTTCTTTACTGGCAGCGACAGGTAGAACGTCTCTCAGTTCACATACAAAGCAATCAGTTCATTCAGAAAGGAATTCACATATTTATTTCATCAGTCTATTTTCCCCATAGCAGTGAACAGACTTGTCTCTACCCTGCAGTACAATGCAGCTCAACTGAGTAGGCTGCTTCACTCTTGTGTGCATCCATTCTTAATCAGGGGCTTACTTTATAGCAGGTTTTTAACCCAGCAAATGAGTAACTGTCTTAACGTTTTCATTCAAGTCGAGGGTGTTGGTGATTTAGTTGAGAAAATAGGTGAGAGGTTTGCCACATGAAAGTGAATGACAGCAGCATTTTACTGACAAGTAGAGGATAGATTTTGAAAGCTGACATTTCCCTTGCAAACTATCTTAAAATAGGGCCATTTGTACGAGTACCCAGCAATCCACAAGCAGATCTACCAATTATAGCTGTGTACAGCATTGGAATGTAGTGCACAGTCACAAGCTAAGCAGCAGGGTGGTACAAGTCAAGTCATTGATCTAACTCAAAATTTTAAAACATTGTATTAATGGCTAGGGGTTCCCCTGTTCATTTGTACTGATTTGAAAGTGAATTGTTCCAAACACTGGTGTGCCGTCTCTAACTGTGCAATGTCGTGGTCCTTTTCTCTGTATATATTCTGTTCTCCAGATCACTAAAGTTGTGTCTGCAGAGTCCCCTATCACTGTCCAGATCCCCGTCGCTCTAAAACAAGCCGCAAAACACACCAACAAAGTAGTCTGCACTTTCTTCAAAAACAACTCCCTGTTCCAGGTAAGGCTGTACCCCCGTTGCACCTCCCATCCCCACAACCCCCAGGCTATCCAGGCTTAAAGAGAGACATGTATTAAGACGTATATATACAAATAATATGGTTGGAACAATAATTGTATGATTTTCTACTAAAAAGTATATTTTCCACATGAAAATCCTTAAAAAGGCATCTACTCCTGCCTCATTCATAATAAAAAAAAAAAATCAAGATGTCTCCTCCTTCACTGTCCATTCTCAGTGTATGTGCACTGGTGGCTTCAAGTTTCTACTTCACACTTGTAGAAGTTGCTAATTGGACCAGACTGACTTCCAGTGAGCTCAGAGAAACTTTCCACTTTCAGCAGATGAATGTGGAAACATCCTTCAAACTCTGCACATACAGTCTTCTGCACCGTGAAGCTCAAACATCCAGCTATTCTATTTTTGAGGAGGAGAGTACACCATTTCCATTGAGTTCTCTGTTTTCTGTGTATAAAAGGCTGCATTATTTGAGAGGACAGGTAAAGATATTGTGTGTATGTGTGTGTCTTCCAGGAGGGAGACAAAGTGGGCAGGATTCTTGACGATGTCGTGGGAATCACTGTGGAGAATGAGGTCATCACTAATCTGCCTGAGCCAATTCGGATAGGCTTTCACCATGATGTCATACCTGTACGTCTGTGCCCTTTTGTCCGTATGAGTGTGATCAATGTTCACTTCATGTTGCCTCAATCTCTACTTTCAAAATGTTGTTCTTTTTAAGTAATTCAATTTTAAAAATGTGGTGAAAAAAAAGTCTCCCATCCAAAATTCAACAAGCATTTGATGCACTATAAATGAGAATTATCAAGCAAACTTCTCAAATGTGGCTTTGCTGCGGATGCTGTTCAAAAAGCCCCCTTTCAGTTCCATGACTTCTGATTCAAGCTGTCTACCTGTACACAGAGATCACATAAAAACACTTTTTTTTTTTTTTTTTTACTTCAGACCTTATGAAAACAGATGGTGCTGTCTATGTGCTTTTGCTTTTCTGTTGCTTCCTCTCTGCAATGCACATATGCCCAATAAACCCACTGTTTAGTGTCATAGTGTATCGGTATTACGAGTATCTGTATGTAACTCAAACCATCTGTGGTGATGTGGTGACACGCAGCAGATTTTGCATGTAGGACTTAAGTAATGAATGCAACTATTGTTGGTGGCTGCTCTGCCAATCACTACTTAATCAAAGGAGGCAGTGAGCTGACACTATGTTAAAGGTGCTGGAAGAAATATTTTCTTGTTAAAATAAGTGTTAAATAGCTCACATTCAGTTCATTGGCTCCTTGCTGCAGTGAACAGAGAATACATTTTCTGGTATCTGGTTCCCACTTTATTCAGTCAGAAGAGAGAACTCCACAAAGGCACTCCTCAAGGGCAGGCAGCTGAAGTGTGGTGACTTGGGGAGGAGGTAGGGGGAATGCTAACTCCAAGTATGGACAGGAAGTTAGCCAAAATGCTGATTTCACTCAAAGCACTTCTAGTATGAATAGAAATGTTCAGCATGATTATGGGAAATGATTACTGCTCACATTTCTCCCTCTTTATTTCAGAAAACACATTCAAGGAAATGTGTTTCATGGGACACCAGGACAGGTTGGAACCCTTTATTACCATTATAAACAATATTCATTCAATATTCTGTATTCCCACTGTTTATTTGTGACTGTGACAGTAAAGTATGTTTAAATCTGTGGTTTTTTTGTGCAGATCCGATGCAGGTCAAGTGGTTAGTAAACGGATGTGAGACACGTCAGCGAGGAGCGAATCACACAGAGTGCCTCTGCAACCACCTGACGTACTTCTCTGTGCTTGTGGTGAGACATGCAGCAGATACTACACAATTATTTTTGAAACAGTAACAGGGCTCCAGAGTGAGAGTGCGAATAATAATTTTTCTAGGTCGCACTGTTGCACCTGGCGCTGCCCGGGTGAAAACAGAAATTTATTTTGCAAACGCATCATCTCTCTGTGTTCTCCTGTGACCGAACTCACACACTCATGGTAGGATCATATCGTGTTCTAAACCAATAAGAGACAGAGCTCGGGCGGGTGTTTGCCTCTGATTGGCTGTGGTCCTGTTCACCGCGCTAAATTGTGCGTTTAAAAATTGCCGAGCCCCGGTCCTTCGGCAACAGCATCAGACTCGGAACCAGAGGAGGAGACAACCTAGTCTGGGATAGAGCCCGGCTCCGAGACCCAAATTAAAAAGGTCAAAATATATTTCTTCAGACAGGACTGGCTGAAACAATTTCCCTGGCTGAGGTACAACAAAGGACGTAACGCAATGCACTGCGTGTACTGTCAGCAGTGCGGTCAGAATATGGATGGAAATAGTGCATTCGTGAGCGGGTCAACAACATTTCGTATCGAACTTTTAGTTTGAAATGTTCAATTTCAGCTCAGTGAAGCACTTTAAACACTATATTTTTCTTTTTATATATAATTGTGCTTCAAATAAAGACAAGCATTTCTCTACACCCTATTCTTGTTTAAAAATCATTCACATTATATGAAAGTTATGGAGAGTGATAAAAAGGTGACCTTATGGCATTAAAGGCGACGCAATGAAAAATTTGAGTGCACCTACATTTTGTGCTGGTGCACCTAAAAAAAAAATAGGTGCACCAGTGCAACCAATGCAAAAAGTTAGTCTGGAGCCCTGAATAAGCATTTTAAAAACCAACATCTATACATGATTTTACACAGACACTGTCATACATATTGCTCATTGCTCTGTGTCCGGTGACAGCAACTGGAGCCTCGCCCAGTGTGCCACCTCCTGGCACTGACCACCATTACATCTCTGGGCTGTGCTGTGTCTGTGATCAGCTGTGTTGCTCTTATCGTTTTTCTCTGCAGGAAGAGGTAATACTACTTTTTGAGAGCTTATTTAATTCTCAAAATATATAAAGAATTTTGATCAAGTAAATAACCCACTGATACTCATTTCACTCTCCCTATAGCAGGCGATCTAAGGAGCAGTCCATACCCATCCACTTGGGCTTAACTGTCTCTCTTGCCTTCCTCAACCTGCTCTTCTTCTTTACTGGGGTCCTGGCCAACGTGGGAGGGGAGAGGGTGTGCGCCTGGGTGGGGGCAGGCCTCCACTACACCCTGCTTAGCTCCTTCACCTGGATGGGCATAGAGATTTTCCACACCTTCTGGTTGGTCTACGTGGTTTTCAACCCCTCGCCAAAGCCCTATGTGTGGAACCTAGTCGGTTTTGGTGAGTGTGTGAAGTAACATTTACAAAAGGAAACTTACTTCATAGAACATAAAGGTAAAGATAATATTAACGTTTGACCTTTGACATGTGTTTTACAGCTCTCCCTGCTGTGCCCATTGTCATCCTGGCTGCAGTGGGTGACATTTATGGAGTGAGAGAGGTGCTGCCATGTGATGACCTATCCAGTCCTTATCTGATGTAAGCAACATTATTTGGACAAAGATATTTGCAATGGAGAAACATTTGCAGTGATGCCTGGATAATGTACAAATACAAGCACAGTAATTCACACACCACATGTTTTGACAGTAGTCTTCAGCAGAGGAAGACTACTGTCAACTAGGAAGTGTAATTTCACTTTCAGAACACTTGAGTGTATTTGTTGTTTTCAGGTGCGGGATGAAAGGTAACTACAGTGCCTTGCTGGCCCACTACTTCACCAACATCACAATGTTGGCCATCCTGGTGTCCTCGGGCTTTGTGATGCTCTTCCTGGTCTATAGGGAGATACGCAACAGGGAAGAATGGAGGCAGAACCAGGTGGCTTTTCTCAGCATCTGGGGCCTCAGCTGCCTCTTTGGGACAACTTGGGGTCTGACCTTCCTGAATTTTGGACCTCTCTCTGACTTGGTTAACTTCCTCTCCTGCATCCTCAACTCTTTTCAAGGTCTGTACCTGCAGCATACAGTTAAACAGTGTTATAGACTTCAGTCTGTCTAGATTGCATTTGGGATTTATATTATGTTGACATACTCAGTTTTACATTGGCTTCTGTCAGCTTGTGTGGACTATTTTGTATTTTTTGCTCATTAGTAAGAGACCACAGAGCTATTACAATAGGACGATAGGACAGACTTCAATTTCAGGCATTACACGGTGTAACTGGACCGTATGGCACGGCTGCCATTGCTGTAGTTTTACTGCATTATTACCGCCTTCACAGAAGGTTTAACTATATACAGACAGTCTTTGGACAGGCCTGTTTTCATTGTTGCCCAGAGATTGGTGACTGTGTATTTGGAGCCAGTGGTCCATTGTATCAGTGTGGGAATGAGACAATGGCCATGGTTACTCAAGGCCTTCTGTTACTTGTGCCTATCAGAAGGAAAGCTGTTTCCTCTCACATGCTGCATGCTTGTTTTTGATTCAGGTCCAGAAACTACTTATTAACCCCATTTTTGCTGCACACTGGTAGTTCAGCCGGATAATATTCTATACCAACTGGCTAACAGTGACCGTTTAATGATACAACTGTTCTTTAATAGGTGGTGGATGTTGTATTAACCAGCACAAAAACCTGAAACTAAATATGGAAAGAAAAAGACATTTGGGGAAACCGACATATTTGTTTTGTTGCTGGGAATCATACAGCATATGAAGATCCATACTACTCTCATGGCTACTTGCTAAATATGAAGCTGCGGCAGGGAGCCAGCTAGTTTAGCTCAGCTAGTCTAAACATGGGGAAACATATAGCCTTGCTCTGTCCAAAGCAGGGCTCCAACTTAACTTATTTCACCTCGATCCCAAACCATCCCAAAATACAATTTAAATAAAAATTAAAAATTAAAAAACGTAAGTAAAGACTTTCCATCTGAATTATAAAAAATGGCTGATTTCTACGTTAAAATGTATTGCACTTTTAACTGTAATTGTACCTTGGTTCTGCTCTGTTCCCCCAGGCTTCTTCCTGATGTTGCGGTTCTACATGCTGGACTGGATGCGGAAAAAGGCTGGTGGCTCTGCTCTAGGCAGCACCAGCACCGGATCTACCAGACAACACATGCTACAGGACAAGAGTTAGATGGAAATCTTATAGAAGTCAGTGAAAAAATAGAGAAGAATGTGGCATCACTGTCTATTAGCACCAGCTTATCAAGTTAAATGGCCTTGATCAGTCATTAATGTGGGTGTAAATTGTGTAGAGCCACAGATGGTACTCACAAGTGTAAAGCATATGGCTGGAGAGTAGAAATATAATTAACAGCTTGCTGGAAGTATTTTAATCAACCCCATCCTTTTAAAACAGGTTTAAAAAGATATTTGATTACTTGATTTTTCTTCTCTGGGACAGTGGAGAAGAGATGACACCATCACTCAGGAACTCATAATATAGGCCTGGAGCCTATATTTACAGAATACCTAGACTGGGTCTATTTATAGAAGGGAAAGAATCTCTTTGAGAGTTTAAATTGTAAGCTGGGAATGAAGTTAAGCTTTATTTCCAGATGGAAACATAGGGAAGTTATATGACTGCAGGTTACTTTGCTGTGATTTCCATTCTATTGTCTGTAAAGAAAAACTATATAATGTAATATACTATATATATTATTATTGAAGTTCTCCTTGAACCTCGGATAAGCTTTTTATTTTAAATTTTGTACTGTGTAAGTATTTGTTTTATAGCTAATTTTAAGACTTTTAAAGTAGCACTTTAGGTTTTCAATAAAAAAAAGTACTTATAGAACCTCAATGAGTTGCTGTTGTATTGCTCTGATATGCATAATAGAAGATATTTCATATACAGTATGAATGCATTGTAAAATAATAGCTGAATGTTTTATAATAGACTCCAGGATGATTCCATATCTTTTCCAGACTGTATTCACACCTTTAGTTAAAAATAATGAACATAATAATGATCAGGTCTTCACCTTCAAAATGGACCAAAATGTATTAGTTAGTTAAATTAAACTTAATTTGAACATTCATTTCATCCTCAGCTGAACACATGAGCTTTTAGATACTGTGATATTTGCACTTTTTATGTCACTCAAATGATGTATATATGTGTGTTTGTATATATTTAAGTTTTTGTGGCTTTATATAAAGTATTAATAAACGAAAGGCTGTGTGTTTGTCTAAGTGTGAATGTGCACCAGTGCAACGTAAGCACATTGGAGGCTTGCTGTTTTCCTGCTCAGTTGTCCCTCCTTCTTATCTTTACCCGTGTGTTTCCTCCCTGGAGGTTTTAGATTTGTTGTTCTCCTCACAAGCAGGCTGCTTGTTTGCCTTTGAAATTCTCAATGTCTCTGCTAGTATTGGTGCCTACGGTATTTTTTTCTGCCCTCCCAAGATCATGATACTCAGGGCTGTCCTTGGAAGAAGCCAACATAACAGTCACCAGAAAAGAAGACTTTTATCTTCACTGCCAGCCAACACAGACACGACGGGTCAAAGTGTGATAAAGAAGGCCCCAAACTGTCGAGAAAAGCAATCGTACATTCATACAAACATTACATGGTACCAGGCTTCACTGTTTATTCAATCTTCAGCTCTGGTGCAGATGGTTCTCACTGCTGGGCTGGTTCACTGTCTGCAGGTGGCACTGTCTGTCCAGCTGTAGAGGCTGTCAGCGGCAGTGCACTGGGTATTGCATTGGTTCGTTGGTAATATCTCATCTATGCTGGTATCCTGCATCTTTACTCTCTTTACACCAAGGACCACAATGCAATGAGTTTATTCTGTGTAATCCTTCACACGTAGCTGTGTGTCATTTAGAATCCTCCTTCACATAATGGCAAAAATAATAATAGTTGAGCAACACAACAAAATGGGACATTTATATTTATATATCTAATACACTTCAATTTAGCTTTGTTTTTCCTCTTTGAAGACACTGCTTCATTGTGTGTCTTATTCCCTTATTGACAAGGTACATATTGACCTAAGGTGGGGAACTGGGACTCCCTTCCAGCACAACCCTGCTGTTTACTCTGCACACTAAATGAATGACTGGGTCCCGCACTGTACATCAGGAGCTCATGCCAGCACATTATTGTGTTTGTGTGGTGCTCTGCAAAACCCCAGTTTGTTGCTTGAGTGTGTCTGTGTGCGTAAATCTGTTTCACTATCTCTTACACCTCACTAACACGATAATGACACATACTCTTCAAGGGCCCATCCCGTCGGCCCCATGCTCCTAGCAGGAGCGCTCTAATTACATGTCTGTTCTTCACACAGCAGCAGTGTGTGAGGCTTCAGGGCAGTCTCAGGGGACCCTTTATGTTCATGTCATAGAGAGAGACACTGATGAGGGAAATGGCAAATCAGCTATGGTCTATAAAAGGATGATAATTCAATGTGTTCTTAATGAGTTAGTTAGTTTTTACTATGCCAACATATTTCATTATAAGTTTCATTCTTATTGTGACATGTTTTTCTTTATAACTTAGTCAATTTTGTTTTACATTTCTCAATTCAATTGTGATAGAAATCTATTAAGCAAATAAAACGTCTGATAATAATGCCCTTTCCTGACTCCTGTATTGTTATACAGTATCAGCAGCACATCAGTAAGTCAGACTGAAATGTTGTGTTCACTGACTGAAGGAATATAATGTTCTGGGAATCATCCTAACACATGTATGCATACTGTGTGCTCCTATAGTACCACAGCGTCACATGACGTCCCCTGTGCAGCGGCAGCCGCGTTGTTTACGCTCCTGATGCATTTGTGAACGGACGCCGTGTTGGACCGCTGGACAGGAGGCAAACCAGCACAGGTGAGACTGGAACAGGTTCCGAGGAATACTTCTCGTTAAATGGAGACAGTTTCCGTGTGTACGCCAGAGACAAATGTCCCTATGCCTGGGTTTAGATACAGCAACAGGACAAAAGAGAAATTAGGTCTGTGTGGAATCGCGACAAGCTAACCGCAGACAGCCACCGGAGGTAGGAGGTTCACATTCAAAATGAAAGCCAGCGTTAGCGACGTTCACTTCGAATTGTGTGTTTTCTGACAGTAGGTGGGTTATTTCATTAAGGCGAGGTGAAACAAATTGTCGGTTTGTGTTGCCCCACTAACAGAGCCGGCCAGCTTAAAGAATAATCTAACAGTTCACCTAATGAATCAATTCAAATAACGGTAATAATGTTTGCTAGCTAACGTTAGTAATGCTCAAACGTTGTTATACAAAAATATGGCTATTGTTATTAAACCTGTTATTAGACGTATCTATGGCTGTCTACTAATAGCGAACATTGTATAACGAAATATATTTAGCATTGTTTTGCTATTGTATGGCGGCTTGTATCCCAGATGGGCTCCTCCTCTGAATCCCAGCTGTTTATCTCCATTTGCCCCGTGAACCGTAAAGCCCTATGTGATAGAATATATGGATTGGGGCTCGGGTTACAAATTAACTAACGTTAGACTGGACATATTCAGTATTAGTAAAATACTGTTCGAGAGAAAAAATACTCCCATTACTGTGGTGACAGACAGAATTGTGACTTTATTTTGAAAGTCATTAGCGGAAGTCAGGTTTACTTCTGTTTCACTTGATACCGGTTATTTTTAGTAAGAAAACGCTGGTCCGGATGCTTTGTAACGTTCAAACATGTTTTAAATGCTCCTGTTTATTATCATGTGGCAGACATTAGTCTCCCACTATATCTCTAACATAATGCCAGTTAATAACTTAGACTGGTCCCACTGACCCAGCCCTAAAACTGAAAAGAGCTCATCTGGAAGCGGCTTAGGTCATCAGATAGCTCATCATTGCCCACCCTTTATTTGTGGACAGTATTAACCCCCCCCCCTTTCAGCATGTTCACCTTTCAGACATACATTTAAGCCTACAGTATTTGTATTGGGGTATGCCATAAGACGCCTGTTAGAATATACTGTAAATGGTTGTTGACACTATATGACTTATGTAACTGTTCTTCAGAGTGATAGCCTGGGCAAAGAAACTATAATAGTTATAATACAGATCCAGGTTGGGCCTAACACTAGGGATGTAAACGGTTTGTTCTTGTTGAACTTGACACAGTTAAACTTTGTTGCAGAACATCTTAACAAAGGGCTGTTTGTTTTATAAAGCTACTAAATGATCGGTGTAAGTAGGCTCTCAACTACCCATTACTTTCATTATTGATTAATGTGCAGATTATTTTCTCCAGTAATTGATGAATCGATGTTTGGTCTATAAAGTGTAAGAAAATAGTGAAAATGTTTCCAGAGGCCAGAAGTTATGTAATCCAACAGCTTGTTTATCCTCACAGTAGACACACAGATCAGTCACATTATGTTATTTTAAAACACTTCCACAATTAACTTCGTCAAAACAGCTGCCAATTAAACTGTCCGTCTATCAACCAATCAATGAATTAAATGTGAGAACAGTTATTTTGTTATTATTATTTTGGTTTGATTTCTTGAATAATGTGAGGAGAAGACACTGCACTGCTCTCTGTCTGCAACTGGCCATCTTACAAAGCTGTCCAGGGACACCAGTGTCCTCTCCAGTGTTGACCTTTTCTCAACATTAGAAAATGAATTACTCAGTGCCTCATACTCAGCTTCCTGTTTGTCTTTTAAGGTTTTAAGCCTTTAATAGAAAACGGAGAAACCCTTGAGAGAGGAGAGAGTGAGATGTGGGCAAAGATCCTGGGCCAAATCAAACCCAGGATATATGCCTTACATTTTACCTACACCTGTGCAGCCACCAGGTGGCAGCAGTCAACAGAATCTTTTTCTTTTAAATACACTGAACCAAATTATAAACGCAACACTTTTGTTTTTGCCCCCATTCATCATGAGCTGAACTCAAAGATCTAAGACTTTCTCTATGTACACAAAAGGACTATTTCTCTCAAATATTGTTCACAAATCTGTCAAAATCTGTGTTAGTGAGCACTTCTCCTTTGCCGAGATAATCCATCCACCTCACAGGTGTGGCATATCAAGATGCTGATCAGACAGCATGGGTATTGCACAGGTGTGCCTTAGGCTGGCCACAATAAAAGGCCACTCGAAAATGTGCAGTTTCATCACACAGCACAATGCCACAGAAGTCGCATGTTTTGAGGGAGCGTGCAATTGACATGCTGACTGCAGGAATGTCCACCAGAGCTGTTGCCCGTGAATTACTGGATATTGGCAGGACCTGGAACACGCTGTCGTATATATTTATTTGTGAACAATATTTGAGAGAAATAGTCCTTTTGTGTACATAGAGAAAGTCTTAGATCTTTGAGTTCAGCTCATGATGAATGGGGGCAAACACAAAAGTGTTGCGTTTATAATTTGGTTCAGTGTATATTAAGGAATCTAAGATCTCAACAAAACATCAAACTGACTTGTCAAATGATTGCACCAGAGCCGTGAACTAACTGCTGGATGTCAGTGCTTTCTTTGAGGTATTTCTAGCTCTATCACCTGGATGAAGTATCATAAGGTTTACTGTACATCACGCCTATGTTATTTCTTCTTCAGGATTGCTAACTGAGTTGCATAATGCTTGACGCATTTCACAGGCTGACAAACACACGTTGACACACACATATTAAGACTCACACCAGCACCACCGACACCTTTAGCTCCTAGCCTGAATGAAGCATGCTCCGTGCTTCCACTCGACATTCAGGCTTCAGGCTCGAGGATCCTGCTGGGCTTTTTCTTTTACCTGTGTGTGGGAAAGTGTCTGTTGTCGAGTTATGAGAATCAAGTCAACAGCACTGTGGTTGTTGTTTGGGTCATCATTGATTGGTCTGTTATCACCAGACAAACAGGTGGTGTGCTGGTGAGTTTGTGGAACAGATGCCTAATGATTAATTGGAGCATGCGCCTCACATGCACACTGACACAAAAACACAAAACACAAGCACCAGTCCATTGTGTTACAGGCATATAACATAACATATAACATGAAATTCTTACAATAAATCTGTTAATGCGACCCCCTCACCAGTCCACCAAGTCCAGTGATGAAGTTTAAAATATTTCTCTTGCATTCTATCTTAATGTCTATGTGCCTGTACAGAGGTGGCAAAAGTACACACATTCTTTATTTAAGTAGAAGTATTGATTGAACTGCTTTACTCAAGTAAAAGTGAAAAAGTACAGGCTGAAATGTACTCAGTATAAAAGTGAGAAGTACTCTCTTGGTTTCTCTGAAGGACATTTCTACCGGCTGTTTCTGTGCAGAGCTTCTGAAACTGAAACTCTCGTTTGTTTAGTGTTTTACATCGCTTTCGTCAAGTTACGTATGTCATGCATGATATGCACCGGTCTTGGGATGTTGGGATGGTGTGCAATGATGTAAACAATAAATAATAAGGAGTAGAGAGTACAGATATTTGTGTAAAAACGTAGGGGTAGAAGTAAGTGTACTTAATTAGTTACTTCCCTCCTCTGGTGAGCTGTGAGACACAATGACCTTAAAATATGGTTGTCTGTCTCAGGTTTGTTTTTTGTGCGCTCCCCCGGGCTTTCTTGCTATGTTTACCATGAGACAGATGAAGACATGACAAGGGGGTGGGTGGGATGTGTGGATTAGAATTGGTTGTGACAGAAGTGGATCTTTAGTTTGGTTCTTAATGGGATATTTTTTTCTGTTGATCTCATTCCTGCAGATGCTGACAGAACATGACATGACAAAAAAGGTTGAACAGTTGCATGAAATGTATAACTTAAAAAGTGCTGTGCTATGGTGCTTTCCTTCCGTGTTGTTTTGTTGATGCCATTCATAAGTTGTTACATCTGGCAGTTCCCTAGTTTATTACAGACACACAGTGCTTTTACCAAATGTCTATCAGTAATTGCATCATCACATTTTGAGCTGATGTCTGTTTTGTCATTTAGTTGATGTTGGTGCATGAGCATATGGCATTTTGTACTGAATCGCCCTCAGCATCATGGTACATAAATCATGTCTGACTCAGGCCACTATGTTATGTTTCTCATCCTCCTGTCCTCTGTAGCAAAAAAAAACTCTTTCCTGTTTCTCTGCCTACTCTGTGTTTAAGTCATGGCCTCTTTTTTTAATTTAATTTGGAACTGAGTTCCTTTTCACTTCACCAAAACTGACTTGGTACTTCTGAATGTGTTGGACAGGTTGTTCCAGAGGTTGCCAGAAAGGGACAAGGGCCTGTAGCGTCCACAGTCGGTCCTCAGTTCCCGCCGGTTCAGCCCTGAGACGACGGCACCATGACCGACCAGGAAGAATCCAAGAAGATGAACGGCAGTGCTGGCCACTCTTCCCATCTTCTGGAACCGCCCAAAGAGAGCATGCAGCTTAAGAAGGAGATCTCGCTGCTCAACGGAGTCAGCCTGATCGTAGGGAACATGATCGGCTCCGGCATCTTCGTCTCCCCCAAGGGCGTGCTGATCTACAGCGCCTCTTACGGCCTGTCGCTAGTCATCTGGGTCATTGGGGGCCTGTTCTCCGTGGTGGGGGCCCTCTGCTACGCCGAGCTGGGCACCACCATCACCAAATCAGGGGCGTCTTACGCATACATCCTGGAGTCCTTCGGTGGCTTCATTGCATTCATTCGTCTGTGGACGTCGTTGCTGATTATTGAGCCCACCAGCCAGGCGGTCATTGCCATCACATTTGCAAACTACCTGGTGCAGCCGCTCTTTCCAACATGTGAACCACCGTATGTAGCATCCAGGCTCATCGCTGCAGCGTGTATATGTAAGGACCTCTCATGTACTCTCTGTCCCACTGCTGTTTGCCCATGTCTGTGTAGCTGTTCCCACAGGTGTAGACACAATACTTTGGACTGTATGTGGACACCAAGGTCCTTCAAACAGCCGGCTAGAAATTAATGTGACCAAAAGAATGAATCATTTGTACGAAAAACCAGATTTGAAAATGGGAGCCAATTTTCCTTCATGGCCAGCCTGTTGAAACTGTGGAAAACTTTAAATAACTTGGTACAGTTCTGGACTCCATGTGAGCTTCTCCAGAAATACAGGTATTATTATAAGAGATACTCACAGCGACTGTCCTCTTAGAAAACTCAGCTGTGTCAGTCAGCAGATGTTAGAACTAGTGTACAAAACAATTGACAGCGTTTTAACTTTAGCCTTTAGAAAACCCCAAACGCCCTCGACTCAACCTTTTTAAGAGAGAGGAAGAGGAAGAAAGCGAAGAGCATCCTGGCAGATAGCTCCCATCCTCTCTTTAGCCGGTTTGAGCCTCTAGGAGGCGCTATAGAGTCCCTCTGACAACTAAAAATTTATTTAAATAGCCCTTCATCCTAAGTGCCATTAATTCTTAACTTCTTTCAACTCACAGACGGTGACAGGAACTGTTTTAAAATGTGTAATGTGACCTTGGTTGTTCTGCTCGTTTGTATCTTGTTTTGAGCCAAAGACAGAATATTCTATTCTATACTAAGACCATCTCTGAAACTGTCCTCTCTCCCCAGGCTTACTGACATTCATCAACTCTGCCTACGTAAAGTGGGGCACCCGCGTGCAGGACATTTTCACCTACGCCAAGGTGGCGGCCCTCATCGTCATCATCATCACTGGCATCGTCAAGCTGTGCCAGGGTGAGCGGTGTCACCACACAGCACCCTTTCCACACCGTTCCTCTATGCCATACTGTAACTGCTGAAAGTGCCAGGCTCACAGTTAAAGGAATAATCATGGACAGGGCTAGCGTCCAGAAGTGTCTTCTCCTCCACAGCTTTGTCCCAACCTCTCTCGCCCACCCGCTCTGTGATCAGCGGTGGTTCTGTGGTTTTCCGCACAGCTTTTCGTTGTGTGGCAGAGAAAAAGAATTTTGAATTTGGGTAGATAATTGATGGGAAGGCTTGGGATCATTTGGGATTTTGTGACTTGTGTGTGTTGCGTTGTCAGTAGCATTCATACAATGACGGAATAACACTTCTCTAGCAGTCAGATGTGACAAATGCAGTTATTATGATCGCTGTGTACGTGGATGTAATATAATTTCACCAGTTGTCCCTTTAACTGTTTGTTTGTGTCTTAGGTTACACAGCCAACTTTGAATCAGCCTTTCAGGGATCGTCTACGGATCCCGGTGACATCGCGCTGGCGCTCTACTCTGCCCTCTTCTCCTATTCCGGCTGGGACACCCTCAACTTTGTTACAGAGGAGATCAAAAACCCTGAAAGGTAACTTTTCCTTGCATGTGTCCTTTTCAGTAGAAAGCCTGAATAGAGGCGAGTCAGAATCCTTGAATCAGCCTGATAATGAACCAGTGTTCTGCTGCTTCAGGAACCTGCCTCTGGCCATCGCCATCTCTATGCCAATTGTCACCATCATCTACATCCTCACCAATGTGGCCTACTACGCTGTTCTGGATGTTAGTGCTATACTGGCCAGTGACGCAGTGGCAGTGGTATGTAAAATAACTGTAAACGAACTACTGAGATCTACTGAGATGGAGAATGAGTTGCATGTGTAAACGCTGAAACTGCAGCAGCTGAACCACTTCCTGTCTCTGCCTCAGACATTTGCAGATCACACACTCGGTGTGATGGGCTGGACCATCCCCATTGCTGTAGCTCTGTCCTGCTATGGAGGCCTCAACGCCTCCATTATAGCTGCATCCAGGTACAACACACACACACACACACACACACACACACACACACACACACACACACACACACAGCACTGCAGTGGTTATTTAGGTTCTTTTTTTATATGACCGGTAACAGAGGACCACATTTGGTAGGTATCCTGTTGTCCGTATTCATTCCTGTTTGTTTGTCCAGGTTGTTCTTTGTGGGATCTCGTGAGGGACACCTTCCAGACGCTCTGTCCATGATCCACATACAGAGATTCACCCCAATCCCTGCTCTCATCTTCAATGTAGGGAAATGTGTCTCTTACATGTCACTCATAGTGGAGGAAGTACAGGAAACCAGAATGAGTTTGGTGTATCTGGCAGCTCTTCATCTCTTAATGTATTCATCCTCCCTCTCTTCCTCTGCCCACTCTCCAGTGTATCATGTCACTCATCTACCTGACAGTGGAGGACGTCTTCCAACTCATCAACTACTACAGCTTTAGCTACTGGTTCTTCATGGGTCTATCAATCGCCGGGCAGATCTACCTCCGCTGGAAAGAGCCCGACAGACCCAGACCTCTCAAGGTGAGACCAGTTAAACACACCTGTGTAAGCCTGAGCATCCATCCAGATTGTGATCAGTGATTATTAATATTGATGATTGTTCAAGATTTGTAGGAGGAGTAGTGAAAACCGATCTGGACCAAATTCAAAATCATGGAAATTTCATCAAGGTGAAAATGAAAATAGATTTATCCGTGACTCGTGAGGGTAGATTTTCTGGACCAACAGAATCCAGGAAAAGGAGTATTTTGTTTCTGAGAGCTAAGGTTCAAAAGTTATAGACTGAAAAATGAATTGTCATAGCATCACCATGTTGTCAACTGTTGTTTTGATAACCAGATCACTGTAGTGCAGAAGAGGAAGATAAAATAGGGTTCCAGAAGCTTCCCTGCTTGGACCCTTAATAAACACATTTCCTACTTTGAGAAATACTGCAGGTTTGTCCTATTTTATATTGAAATATGCAGCTGAATACAGTCACACATTTAGTTAGGATAAAACCTTTTTAAAAACTAATGTGTGCATTTAAAACTTTGGCTAAGCTGATAGACTGTGGGTAAGCTCTGTATTGTAAACAGACAGAAAGGCTGAAATTCAATAAGTGAAAAAGTGAAGGAGATAGGTAAATGGTATATGCTATGTTAATACTATGTATATGTATATTTACAATGAATAAAATGCATTGATTAGTGTATTCCTGCTGTCATGTCAGATAGAGATCATACCATCCACATATAAAACATGGCTGTCGCATCAGTGACATCATTCAGAGCCAGAGTCTGGGGGAAAATGACATAAAGAAAATCTGAATCAAAGTCGTATCATTAAAGCAAAGATTTTCAAATTAGGTATAAAAATATGTCTTGTTGGTTGTGTGTGTGTGTGTGTGTTTGTGTGTGTGTGTGTGTGTGTGTGTGTGTGTGTGTGTGTGTGTGTGTGTGTGTGTGTGTGTGTGTGTGTGTGTCTCTCTCTGCAGTTGACCTTAGTGTACCCGGTGGTGTTCTGTCTGTGTACGGTTTTCCTGGTGGCGGTTCCTCTCTACAGCGACACTGTCAACTCTTTGATCGGCATCGGCATTGCCCTGTCAGGGGTTCCCGTCTACTTCCTGGGTGTCCATCTACCAGAGTCCAAACGACCGCCTAGCATCACCAAGCTGCTGCGTGAGTCTACCACACATCCAGCACCCTAAGACAACATGTCATTTGAGCTGTACCTCACCTCGCCTCAGCAACGTGGCTAACAACGTGGTTGTTTTCTCTTACCGCAGGTTCTCTGACTCACTGCACCCAGTACACCTGCTACTGTGTACTGACGGAGCTGGACAAAAGTGAATAGCGTCCTGTAGACCTCAACAGCAGTCTCTGCGTCCTCACGGCTGACAGCCACCAGGGGATCCTTCTGTGTGGGGGGGAAAAAAGAGGATTTATAACACTTTTCTTATACTACTACATTTTGAAGCACTCAGACTGACGTGTTTTACGACACTGAAAATGCTGCCTCACGTTCACTTGCACAGTTATCCTGAAGTTCAAGGACGATCGAGGACTTCAGCCCGTAAGGATAGACAGCTGCTGGTATAATGAGAGCTGTGGTAATGGTTTCATTTCTCCATCACATGATTTAGTGACCTTTGGCCTGGTTAGGTCTACAGGTAACTGTATGGATGCCTACAGAATGTGCCTGTGACATTTTATGAATGAAAAGAATATCGGGAAGGGAAGGATTTGTTGTTTTTTTTTGTCTGCTGCTATGTGAAGAGGTGGAGTCATCATTCTAATGGCGTTGCCTTTATGTACTCGTGGTGCCACTGACTTACATTTTAACTTTCATTACTATGTTGAAATAGAACATTGTTTTGTTTTTTGGTGTATTAAATGACTTTTGGGAATGTTTGGCTGAGTGGTGAACTGAATCCACTCAGTGTTCACCATGCTATATCCAAGACAGATGTTAAGACTTTAGGTGTCCATTGTAATGCACCATCTTTATGTCCAGCTGTTTAACATTTGCACACATGGTCTCAAGTAAACTATGCCTCAGACATACTCTATCTCAGAATCCCTGTGAGGAGTGGCTTAAATTAGAAGAGTCCACTTAATCCAGAGGTTATTCATGGAGCCACTTATTCTCCCTTAGCAGGAAGATGTCAGCTGTGAGCCTGAGATGCTAAGAGTGCATGAAAGCTCCGTTTTCAACACTGTGATATAATACCATGCAGTTATTTCCAATAGTACTGTTTAAATCCATGAATCCTGTACGTTTAGAAATAGATACAATTTGATGTAGAAAAAGAAAATGCAATGTATTGTTTGTCTGATACAGTAAATGTGCACAGGACTTAAGAGCTTATTCACGTTAACCTGGGCACCTCTTGGTTTCACTGAGGGCTTCACCTTGTGCCATTAATTAGATCATACTTTGGCACTGGTCCACTGCTGGTCCAGTGGTGCATCATACACACATACACACACACACAGACACACACGAGGCCATGAGGTGCATTCTTAACTAAAATGTATTTAACCTTTTTTTTTTTTTTTTTTAAATCATGTATAATGAGGAAACTGATGTGCAGTAATGCAGCCACAATTCCAAATCATCGTGGTTTGTTGAATGAAGCATGAAATTAAAGACAACTTGTTTTGTGCAGTGGTGGTGGTTTTGTACATGGAGCATCTTTTCCCCCCCGATGTGCAGCACGCGGGATGGACGAGCTTTGACCAAATCCTGACTAAGATGGTTGAGGTTGATCACAAGCTTTGACCCTGAAGCCTATAATGTTTTAGGCATCTCATCTGGCATTCCATACCAGTTGTGACTTATTTTGTAGAGTGACCTCACACAGGCGTTTACCATGCAGCACAAACTGACTCTGAGATGTTTGAAGTTTATTTTGAAAGCTTTCTTTTTATACACATCTACATATTTACAAAAAGTTTAATTCAACAAGCATCCAAGCAAAACAATCTTAACTTCAAAAAAAGGGAATTTCTGAACCAAACTCGCACACCCACAACAAAATAAACACACCACGCTTTCACATTATGCAAAAATCTTAACACACACAATTACACCTACACACACTACCATGCACAAAATGCAAACACCCTAAATTGCAACCACACGCGGCCCGAGACGTCTCACTAACAGAAGTGTTAACAGCACAAAGCATACCAGGCATGTAACACTAATACGCAACATTTTCTAACACACATCCACTTTTAACAAACACCCACACACAAGTTCACTCCACCAGTTTAAAAAAAAAAAAAAAAAGACACTCTGGATCCTTCTGGAAATTACACCTACTCCTTCATCCCCTGTGTAGTAGAGAGGGATGGATTCCACCATAAAGAGATGACCATTTTCTGAACCAATAGGGGTCGACAAACTTTGTGACATGAAATTAAACTTTTCTGAACAAGTTACGGGTCAAGAACAGGATGTTTTTTATAAATCTGATGAGTGCTACACATACATTGCTACACTTTGAGATGGGATGTCTTGAAGTGCATTTTCCCCCCACCCCAGGCATGTTTCTGTGCCCGTCAGTCCCCCCCACCCCACCCCACCCCACCCTCTCCTACACAGAGGTCTGTGGAGTATGGTGTTATTTGTGAAGAGGGCAATGGGAAGATCCACTGACAGGGTGTGGCTTAAGGGGTAAATCAATCAGAATCATATTTGTCTCCATCATCATCCTCATCGTCATCTCCACCACGGCAGCCCAGCTCACGCAGCTCTTCCGTCTGGTAGCACTGCCAGCTCCTCCGGCTGTACGAGTGCTCCTCTTCCCAGTAGCCTGCACACAAGAGACACAAAGCAGCCAATCAGTGACGGGAGGATCTGGAAAGGTGTTAGCACTAAGTTTCAAGGTGAGATGGATAGGAGACATAAACAAAAAGGTCCAGTGTGTAACACTGAGGAGGATCTATTGGCAAAAATGAAATATAATATTCATAGGTGTGTTTTCATTGGTGTATAATCATCTGAAAATAAGAATTGTGTTGTTGTTGTTACCTTACCCTAATTTCCGGACTATAAGCTGCTACTTTTTCCACACGCTTTGAACCCTGCGGCTTAAACAATGATGCGGCTAATCTCTAGATTTTTACGGGCTAATGTCCTCCAGGGGGCGCTCTAGCAGGAAGCGCAAGAGCAGGACAGACAGGTGGAAGAGATAATGCGCCGAGGAAGACGCTAGTTTGATTGTGTTTTGAATTCATTTGATTCTTTCAGTCATTTTGCGCATCATGCACACACCCTCATCATGGAGAAGCCAAGAAGAAATGCACATGATGCAGCTTTTAAGTTAAAGGCAACTGATCTGGCTGTTGAAGTAGAGCTGCTGCACGAAAGCTTGGCACCAATGAATCGATGGTGAGACGTTGGAGAGCAGCATTTATTTAATTAAAAATAAAAATCTTTCTGTGTACCATCTTGGTGGTCTACAAATCTCTCATGTTACAATGTGGACAGCTGCAGCTTATAGACAAGTGCGGCCTATATATGTAAAAAAAGTTATGTTCTTTTTAAATTTAGTTGGTGCGGCTTTTATTCAGGTGTGCTCAATAGTCCTCACTTAAGATGTTCCTGCGACCTACTAGAGCTCTGTTCTGTTCTGTCAGCATTAGCATTAGCCAGCATTAGCGTCTGTCAGCACAGTGTCCAAACCGACACAGGCCTGAATAACGCCTTCATACATTCATAAATACGCACCTCCGTAGCGCTCCTCTCTGTCGCTGTCTGCATCGCTCTCATCAGGGTAGTCATTCCTCCAGTTGCCTTCCTCATTTTCATCGTCCTCGTCTTCATACACCTCCTCTTCACAAACCACAAGGTCAGGCACCTGGTACAAACAACAACTCTCGTTTTTGTTGATTCATTACTGGTTTTAGTGTCCTCAGAGAAATTGTTTCTAATAATTAATAACTCTATGGACTCAGCTTTATGATTTAAGCCATAAACACTTCTGGACAATCACTTTGTTCCCCTTTCAAATGTGCAAGATCGATTTCTCTGTTGGGAATGTTTTTGGCCAAAATGATAAGAATGCAACAAATGTCAGGCACACTTTTGAATGCTGCTTCCGACAGAAATAAGCAATATTACTGAGGGACAGTTTTATCCATACGCTGGTCTCATCTACTGACTGGCCTAAAGCAGTTTGATCCAGGACCACTGCTTTGAGTTAAAGGTAGCAAAGAGCAGCTGCATGGAGGCTGACTGTCAATTTATCCAAACACAAATCTCACAGGCAGTTAGCACATAGCCCCCCCCCCCCATGTCTACTCTCTACTTCACCCATGTCTTCATTCACTCACTCAGATGTCAGCACTCATTCATCTGTCCGTCCATCCATCCACACACACCAGTTCTCCCTCATCGGCGTAGGCCCTGACAGACAGGATGTCCTGGATCCACCCTGGTGTGACCGTTTCCTGGTAGTAAAGGTCGTAGACGTACTCCGCATCCAGCTCCCGGTGCTCTTCCCCCAGCCTCTCTCCAGATATGCTCAGACGCTCCCGCAGCATCTTGGTGCTGTTGCACAGGATCACTTCTGGGTCTGAGGACAGCGTCTTAGAAAATACAGAGAGGATTAGGGTTAATAAATGGGAATTTAGGAGAATTAACTGGAAAAGTTGGGTAATTCATACAAACTCCATCTTATACAAACATAAATATAAACATTTTGTTTTGTAATAAGCAGACAGGCATATACAGTGAATACAAACCCAGTTGAGTTATTTGTCAGTTTGACTTTTAGACTAACAGTATTATAACAAGCAATATTAAAAATATCCAGTTTATTCCCGTTAATTCCCATATATTCCCACGGAATGTTTCCAACTTTGAAAACTCCTGGAATTTTGCAACCCTAGAGAGGATAAACTGATCACTGAGGCTATCCATAATAGCAATGTTCAACAATGTTTGGACTTGATTAATAATCCTTTGTTCATTGTTACAAACCAGTTAATACTCTATGCAATAAGGAGCTAAGCAGCTGAAGCCTTTGTGTACTTGACATCACAAACACATTTATTATTTGTATTCAAACAGCATTTCAACTGTTATTTGATAAGCTATTAAATATTTACTATTGATTGTGTTAAAAGCATTTGGTGACACAAGCAATTGTGCTGTGATAACTTCTTGTATAAGCGTAATGCATTCCACGGCTTTCTTTATCATTCTAACCTGTAGTTCTATACGGGGCTCTCCAGGGTGTCTGACAGTGATGACAGAGCTATGAATGTTGTAACCATACCAACCAGCTGGACTCGCAAGATCGTGAGAATCCGTTTCACCAGGTTTCAAGCTACGCACCAAGTGGCATCCTACGAGGGACTACTGGAAGCTGGTTTAAGGTGTGTGTGACGATGTGAGTGGAAAACAACGATGGTGGCTGCTAGAGAGGTCTATCAGAACTGAGAGTGTTTCTTCATTGAAAGAAGAGCAAAGAAGGGCACTGAAGGCTTTTCTCCATGAAAAAGATGGTTTGGCTCTGCTCCCGACTCCCTTCAGTAAGAGTTTGATTACGTTCGATTGGTGGGCAGTATGAGCAACAATTTGTATCACTGTATTCTTCAAGATCCTGCCGGTTTCACAGTATTCATTTATTTTTGCATGACTGGTCGTTTATATTGGCTGATTCTCCTGTCAGGAGAGCATAGAATATAAAAACATTTTAATGCCATCAACTTTTACAATGCTTCCCTTTCAAATTTAATATTTAAAAACTCATATAAATGCTATTAACATAAAATACTGAAAGTATTGAGGTAATGTTTTATTGCACAAGTAATAAACAGATTGTCACCATGGTGTTTTGTCCTGTCAATGACAGTTAGTTGTGGATTCTTAATTGTGATGTTATAAGCGTTGGTAAGAAAGGTACACCCTCTCAGTACACACTACACTGCTTGCCCCGACCGTACTGCTCTTTACAGCGAAACCAACATCACTGCCTATTACAGAGTTACAGCTGCTGTTACAGCTATGCACCAGCATGGAGGTATATTAAAAATACACATGTGTTAAATTAAAACCGGCCCATCTGCTATCTCACCCAGAACGACTGTGTTAAATCTTTCGTTGATCTGATTGGTTGAAGTTTTCCCATGATAGATGAAGATAAGACAGTTCATCCAATCACGTGCCATGTATTTTTTGAAAGTGCCTGCCCTTTCCAAACAGTTTACAACACAACTTTCCAGATGCTTCTGTGCAACAAACCATTGGGTGCAGTGAAAGTTATGGTGGTCCAGCAGACAGGCAGACACCCCTCAGCACAGTGAATGAAAATATAGTTAACGCTCACTGCATTTGCACAACAGATAATGTGCAATGGGAAAAATCAGCAAACTAAAAAGACCACAGCTGACTGTGGGCAGGTTGTGAATGTCTGCTCATGTATTAGTGGCCTGGTACTGGATAAACTTATTGTACTGTCATTATTGCCACGTGGCATTATTGTCAACTCAAATCAATTGTTACTGCACTTAAAGATGTTTCATTCTCTCTGCTATGTTCATTTGTTTAACACTGTTTTGGCCTGTTGACAGTTGTTTTTGACAGGCACGCATTCACTGTTGTTACTTAAAAGTGAAGCAGTGATGACATTTCCAGACCCCCTTTTCCCTAAATGATGGACAACAATCAATTAGACTGTGTAAGGCAACTGAAAATCCCAATGGTACTCCTTAACCAGCTACAATAGTGCTCAACTCACCTTGCCAGAAGACTTGTCCTGCTCCTCTACATCCTCGTGTACAAGATCAACCACCTGGATCTCTCCAAGACCCGAACATTTGTCCTGCTCTTTCCCAGTTTCCTCCACGCCCTCAGAGGCCTCTGTCTGGGGGATTTGCTGCTCAGTTGGGCTTGACAACCCTGTACGGTGACTAGAGAGTATTCTGTAGCGTTCTTCCCTCCGGGTGCTCCACTTTGTGCTTCGTAGGTCCCCAATTATCCGTTGTGAACTGGTGGCAGAGGGGCGCAGCGCGTGGACCATGCGAGGCCGAGCCAAAGCCTGCCGAACCTGCGTCTGGACTGGAGCATCCTGGCGATGAGATGACAAAGGTGAGAATCTACAGCGCTATAACGTGCACATGGGAACATATTTGGCTTTAATCCTCAAAAACACAGATGTTGAAGGAATTTAAGCATGGACCACACCAGGGTTTCCCAACCTGGGGGTCGCAAAAGCTTCATGGATGTCCAAGGTGTACAAGAAAACCTTTAAAATATACACAGTAGGCATATAGCTCAACATCTGGTTCACTTCTGAAGAAAACTAAATGTAAATTGTTCAAAAGAACAACGGCCAAGAAAACACAGAATTTATGGGAGAGTGTATGATTGTTAACAGGGAGAGAAATACATAATACAGACAGAACTGTAGAAAAAGGTTCACTGAACAACAAATAATTTGCTCAAAATTCATCCAAATAGCTCATTTTACACAAACTTCCTGTAGTTACTGAGTTCAGTATTAAAATGTACAGAATTGAATATAATATGAAATATTCATAGAACATGGTCAGGGGTCGTCAGTTTACTATATGATAGAAAAAGAGGTCCCTTAAAAGGAAAAGGTTTGAACCACTGGACCACCCAATCCTTCCTGCATCACTCAAACACTGTCAGTGAGCAGAGGCACATTTACACCATATTTTATTCAAGTAGAATAACACTGAACCAAAGAGCCTTTTAAAACATGAGACTATGTTTACCAGCTGCGTGATGAATGAGACAAATGTTTGACATTGTGTACTTGAACACATTTAGCGCTAATGTTAATGTTATATCTTCGACGGCTTTGATTCGGTACACAGTGAAATGGTCTCCGGGGCCTGTGAACGGGTCACCACTACGTTCAGCTACCGACAGGCTAACGCTATCTGGGGCTGACGTACGGCTAGCTAATGTTGGCTAACAGCGTTGACTAGCCTGAGTGCTATGCTAACAACAACTAGCACAGAAGGCGGGTTGTTTTCCAACGACTATTACCATCCATTTAAAACGTTAAATACAGCTCTCTATCCGCCGGTCAATTTCACTAAGTCGTTAAGTTTGTGTGGAGACGCTAACTAACGTGTATTTGCCGTTTTCCACCGCCGGCTCCGTTGACGTTAGCCAGCAGCGCGGCTGTGCCAGCGGGCCTCTCACCTGTGTCGCTACGGTCGCCACGAGTTTGAAGACGGAGTTTTCCACCTCGGCTTCATTGGGCTCCGGTACCGTTTCGCCCGAGCCCTGGGACGTCTCTGGGCGGATACGTTTGCATGCCAGCAACAAAGCATCTGCGGGGTCGGTCCCCCTTTTTCTTTTGACTCGCAGAATCGTCGCGTTTGGATCCATGTTGTCCCGCTGTCTGAGTGAGTCTGGGTTGTCTGGCAGAGACAGAAAGAGGAGGAGAACTGGAGAGCTCTCACTCCGCCTTTATTTCCGGGTACCACAAACGTCACAGTATGGCGCAGGCCGAGGTCGTGGGGATGATAGCGTGGATGTCATCCTCAGTTGTAGTTTCCTCTTATAACTTGAATGTATAATTCCTATCTCCTCGATTTACTTAATGCACAAATGATTGAATCTGAGTGTGGAGTGTGCCACCTTGACTTTTTAGTGGATAATTCTAACCAATTAAATTGTTGCATAACAATAATAATACAAATATCAAATCATTACACTATAATCAAGTAGAATTATTACTTTGCAGATGTAACAATCTTTTTCAAACAATATTTTAGTCCGATTTAGTGTATATAGTCTATTTAGTGTATATAGTATATTTAGTATATTTAGTGTATATAGTATATTTAGTGTATATAGTATATTTAGTATATTTAGTGTATATAGTATATTTAGTATATTTAGTGTATATAGTATATTTAGTGTATATAGTATATTTAGTGTATATAGTATATTTAGTATATTTAGTGTATATAGTATATTTAGTGTATATAGTATATTTAGTATATTTAGTGTATATAGTATATTTAGTGTATATAGTATATTTAGTGTATATAGTATATTTAGTATATTTAGTGTATATAGTATATTTAGTGTATATAGTATATTTAGTGTATATAGTATATTTAGTATATTTAGTGTATATAGTATATTTAGTATATTTAGTGTATATAGTATATTTAGTGTATATAGTATATTTAGTATATTTAGTGTATATAGTATATTTAGTGTATATAGTATATTTAGTGTATATAGTATATGCTAAATTATGGTATCATTTGAAGTTTTAAAAATAAAGAGGGTAATAAAAATAACAGGAGATTAAATTGATGCAGAGAATTACTAAAAGAAACATTAATCTAAAGACATTTCTCCTGTTACCTGCTGATACTATCACCTATTGATATGTCACATTTTGAATAATTTAAAAAAAAAAGCTCTAGCTGTTTGTCTAAATTCCAGGAGGACTGAACATTGTAAAGACAAAAGAAAAAAAAACAATTGGCTGCCGGGTGTAGTCATGTGACCCCTTTAAGCATGGCTAGGTGGAGCCACACTGAAAAGAGGAGTCACATCCCCCCAGTGTAAGTAGAAGTCTTGTTTGGTGTGTCAGCTGCTGCAGTCAGTGGGTCCCTGTTAAGAAGAAAGAAAGAAAACCCGAGATTTGCTTCTTCTGACATTTTTTCAAGAATACCGGATAAGTCTTATCCAGGTGAGTACACATTTCACACTATATACACCATCTTTAACATACATTCAGTAGCCAGTATATTAGGAACACCCAGTTAAAGCTAATGCAGTGTAATACAACAGTCCTGCTATAATTCCTAGCTTCATCAGGTTGTACTGTGTTATACTGAGTGGTGTTTCTATTATTTTGTCCACTCCATTTCTATAAATGAAGATAAATCAAATAACAGAAACATATCTTTGTATAATGTAACACAGTTCAGCAGTACCACAAACTGCAGCCTTTCCCTTGACAAATGGACATTTCTGGAATAACTGTAACTATACAATAACTAAGCTAATGTTGTAATAATCCAACATATTTTTGAAACAAGTATTCAAGAATTCATATATCAATGACATTGTTATTTCACATGTTTCAGTCTTGTCAGCATGTCAGCTGCCACCTGTCTGCTGTCTGAAGAGCACTTTCTGTGCTCCATCTGCCTGGATGTGTTCACCACTCCGGTCACCATAATGTGTGGACACAACTTCTGCAAAAACTGCATCACTCAAAACTGGAGAATCAATAGAAAAATACAGTGCCCCCTTTGTAAAAAGCTTTTTGACACAAGACATGAGCTGCATGTCAATATTTTCATATCTGACATGGTTGCTCAGTTCAGACAGTCAGCGGTGAAGAAAGCCACGGAGGAAGCCAAACCAGGAGAGGTTCCCTGTGACATCTGTACCGGGCTCAGAACAAAGGCTATCAAGTCCTGCCTGGTCTGTCTGGCCTCGTACTGTGAGACGCACCTGGAGCGACATCAGACGGTGTCTGGACTGAAAAGACATACGCTCATTGAGCCTCTGGGTAACCTAGAAGACAGGGTGTGCACAAAGCACGACAGACTCATGGAGCTGTTCTGCAAGACTGACCAGATGTGTGTGTGTCAGTTTTGTACTGAGTCAGATCACAGGTTGCACGATGTTGTTCCTCTAAAAGAAGAATGCGAAGGAAAGAAAACTGAGCTGAGGAAGATAGAATTTCAGCAGATGGTCCAGGACAGACAGCTGAAGATACAGGAGCTCACACATTCAGCAAAGCTCAACAAGGAAGCCGCTGACAAAGAGACAGCAGAGGGCGTGGAGGTGTTCACTGCTCTGACTGAGCTTGGAGAGACAGGCCTGACTGAGCTCATGGATCAGATCAAAAGGAAGCACGAAACTACAGCAAAACAAAGTGAAGATTTGATCAGAGAACTGGATCAGGAGGTCTCCGAGCTGATGAAGACAAACGCTGAGGTGAACCAGCTCTTATGCTCTGGTGATCACTTCCACTTCCTCCAAAGCTTCTCCTCCCTGAACGCCTCTCTACCCACTAAGCACTGGACAACAGTCACCCTCCGACAGCCATCGTATGAGGGAACTGTGGCAAGAGCTGCGGCTCAACTTCGGGAGACACTCAACAAAGGGATGGAGAAGCTGCTTGAAGCTGAGCTGAAGAGGGTGCGGCGGTATGCGGTGGACGTGGCTCTTGATCCTGACACAGCACACCCTAAACTCCTTCTGTCCGACGATGGGAAACAAGTAAATCACAGGGATGTAGAGCAGAATCTCCCAGACAATCCAGAGAGATTTTCATATTGTGTCATTGTCTTGGGAAAGCAGAGTTTCTCTTCTGGCAGATTCTACCATGAGGTCGAAGTTAAAGGAAAAACTAAGTGGGATTTGGGAGTGGTCAGCGTGTCGGCCAATAGGAAAGGAGAAATTGTATCGAGCCCGGAGGCTGGTTACTGGACTCTGCAGCTGAGGAATGGAAATGAGTACGTAGCTCTCGCTGACCCTGATGTCTTCCTCTCTTTGAAATCGCGGCCTCAGAAGGTGGGAGTGTTTGTGGATTACGAGGAGGGTCTGGTCTCCTTCTGTGACGTTGATAGCGCGGATATTATCTACTCCTTCACTGCCTGCTCCTTCACTGAAAAACTCTACCCATTCTTCAGTCCCTGTTTTAATGATGGTGGTGACAACTCTGCCCCTCTCAGGATCTCTGATGTTCATAAAACTGACTGAATCAGGCATTTTTTTCCCCAGAATTGATTTCTTGTCATTTACGCATACCCTCATCAACACCACTCATCATGTGTTGATTTTAAACTGGATGTTATTTAACACTAGAACCATATATAGGTGGACAATGCAGTATTTTTCATACAGTCAATGTTTTGATTGGGTCAGGTTTGCATTTGTACACTAAGAAGCTAGATGTTTCAACCATTTATCATTTAGATTTATTTATATTTATTTAACAGACTCTTCGTCAATGTATGTTCAGGTACTGTGGACATGTTTTTAATGAAATAATAATTTAAGTGTTTCTGTTGTTCTTTTTAGAAATGATTTGAGCTTATTATTTATTCCTTGGCAACTGCAGAAGCAAGTTCATTTGAAACCATCGATCTGTTGAGGTGGTTATGCAAGGCTGTGGCCTTATTCAAATCTAATCTCCAAAATAAGACTTAAATACATCAAAATAAGACTTAAAGAGTTATGAATCAAAAAAGTTGAAACTTAAACTAAAAAATGTTTTATTTTTGTCATTTGAATAGAAGAAAACAACTTGAAAATTATTTTTCCTCTTTATGCTAAGGGTTGATTGACCTGGGGTATACTGTATGTTATCCCAGTGGAGATACACGACAATACAATCAGAAAGCTGTAAGTAGGTGTTTTATGGAATATATTGGGTTTTTATTTCTGTTAATGTGTATTTATTTTATATGTTCTGGTAATCAGCTTTGGTTTATTAGGATGGACTGCAATTTCCATTTTTTTTATAGATGAATAAACTGACCTTGAATAGCCAACAGATGGCACTCATTTGTCACATTACAATAGCAAGTTACCTCAACGCTGATAACCATTCAGCAAACAGAGCCAGACAGTCCAGCTTTCATGGATGCCACTTCTATTTAACTCTCCTCTGAGCAGGTAATACGTCTTCAGAATAAAGTGTGTGAACCAAGCAACCAAGCTAATTCTTTATTTAATTAAATGCAAGGTGTCCCGAGGACAAAATGCCAGGGGACTACACAGCGCATTAGAGAGAAAACAGCTTGGAGAGCTAATATTATTATGTGCTGGCTGGCTAAGGTGTTAGTGGAACCAAATATTATATGAAGACAATAGAAATACGACTGCCCTGATATTATATTAAATTCTAGTGTTCAAAGTATTGTATGTAATGAATATTAAATGCTTGTAATTGCAGTGTGTAGGATGGATACATTTCCATAATAACACTGCCATACCCCTTACAGAACGTGTTATACAGAATTTAGACAGCACACACTGTCATACTGTGTACATTTTGTTAGATTGTTCTGTGGAATGTTTTTGGCCACAGCACAGTTTCTGTAAGGATGTTTTCTAAAATGTATCAGATGTGTTAATGCAAATTCAGAGAGACCAATATCCCCAGAAAACACATGTCTTTAATAGTTGCTGCTTTAACAAAGTTGTCTTTCTGATCATGATGTGTATTATAGTGCTCACTATTGCAGAAAAGACAATCAGGGAATTTTCTATTCAGTGATTCACCAGCAAATTGTTGATAAGCTTTGCTTGTCTATATATTTGATAATTATATACATAATTGTAGTAACAATAAATAATTAAAAGGGGTTACTGTTCATGATGCATGATTTTCATTGCATTTTTTAATTAAGATTGCAAGACATCGGCTAATTAAGTTATTGTTAATTATTATTTAACTGCATATGACCAGAGTCCAGTAAACACCTAATATAGGCAATAGATTATATGTCTGTTTTAGCTGTGAATATCAGTTATTGAAACTGGTAGTCATCATTTTCTGAGTGGAAGAAGTGTCTCTGACTGAGGAGTTACTGTCAGGTCGAGACTTGCAGGTCAAAGCCAAGGACCACAGGAACAAGAACACACCTGAGAAGACAAGAGAAAGGTTGTGAACTCTCCCAGCAAATCATAAGAGCACAGTGTGTATGATATGTGGATGGTGCACATACTGACCCTGCAGGGAGTTTATTATAGTGAACGCATAGATCCCAGGGAGGGAAATGTAGGTGGTGCTGGCTAACCCCCAAGGTAAGCCCAGCACACAGCTGAGGCCCAGCACTGTGGCACAGTCCTTCCACAGCCTGCTCCTTTTCTCCTTGTTCACCTTCTTCCAGCCACTGCTGCTCTCAGTGCCTCCACGGTCTCTCCTTAGCTCCCAGAGCTTAAACACCACCAGCCCCAGCATGCAGGAATTATACAGTATCACCAGGCACGGGAGGGCCACAGTAGTGATGTAGCTGACTAAAAGCCTCTGTGGGAACTGGCTGCTCATCCAGCATCTGCAGGTTATTAACAAAACAAAGTCCAATTTGATTTAAATAAAGTTAACTTTGAATTGCACAAAGCAGAGCACCGTTAGAAGCACAGTATGTGTTTGCTAAGGAGTCAGACTTTCTGTGTATGCAAACAATGAATCTTGGTTTCTTACATCTGCGCTGTTGAATTCTGGTTGTTGTTGTCGCTCACTTCCAGACTGTATTTGCCATAAACACTCACAATCCCACAAACCAGCACAGTCAGTGTAGGAAAACCTGCAAAAGACAAAAAGATACAGAATTTACTTCAACACTACCGTCATAAATCGCCTGTTGGTGCCTGCTGACTCGCTCTTTTAGTTTAAGCATTTACATGGCTATTATTATTTTATTGGAAAAATAATTGAAGGCTATTTCATAATCATATAATAGCCAAACTCCATTTGAACTGAACATTTTAATGATTTTTCAGACTTATCACCAGTATACTAGAAGAAATCAAATTCCTAAAACTTTAACATTTAACAGAATCACTGTCTCACCCCATCCCACCAAGCTGAGTTTGAGCAGGTATCTCCTGACGTAGATGTTGAAGACTCTGACTAGGAGAAGGTAGAGGTGGAATCCTTCCAGAGCCATCCAGCTGAAGGTGGCCAGCATGGACCAGTGTAAAAAGAGACCCAGACCCCGGCAAACCCAGCCCTCCTCAGTCTCATTCACCAGACGCACCCAGAAGCAGCTCAGCAGGAAGCTGAGGTGGAGGCAGAGCAGAGCCCCTGTTAGGTGCATATGCACACCGATGGCCTTTTCTGGACGCCGCCGTCTGAAAGAGAAACAGTATTCAGCATGTCATGATCAGTTTTGTATTGTCTATTTAGCAGATACAGCTAACATTGATTGATTCCCTCAAGAATGGATACTGGCGCTTCTTTTTGGACATGGCTCTTAGGTTTATTCTCCTAAACCCCCACATCAGCCATCTGTCAAAACATCCAAGAAGGTCGTGCTACCCTTGGTTCCCTTACTCACTCCAATTATGCTGGGGCAACCACTACTGTTAACTCTTCATTACCACCTGAAAGTCTACTTCCCTTTCATAATCGCCTAGATGGACAAGATTTCACAACTGCTTGACCAATTTGGACAATATAGGAGTTGTTTAGCGCGTTACTGAGGATGCTGAATCCATTTCTGACATTTTCAAAATGGCTGTACAAAGTAGAATTGGCCCACTGGGAGGTAAAATATGACCTCTTCCAGTTTAAACGGCCATTTTGTATTTTAAAAATGTCAGAAATGGATTCAGCATCCTCAATTACCCCCTAAACCACTCCTATATTGTCTAAATTTGCCAAGCAGTTGCTGAAATACTGTCTATATAGGCAATTTTGCTAATTTCCCAACATATGCAAGTTAGCATCCAGTAGTTTCTATATGCTGGGGACCCATACTTTAGATTTCTAACATAAAACGTTGGTGTACATTTCTAGCTTCATGTTTCCAGAGTGTGGATTTTAATAGTCGGATATAATAGAGATGATTGTGGCGGTTGAAAGAAATCTAAACTAAGGGATTTAGATTTTAAAATAGCTTTACTTTGTTTTTATCCACATGACAATTTTAGCGTATTGCTCCAGTCGGGAAACTCTCCTGCACCCCTCTCTCCTGCTCTCCTCAAAAAGTGAATGAAAAACGTCAGTGAATTGGATAACTGCAGCACAAACTGGGACCGAATCAGTCAATGAGTGGGTGGTTCTGGGGGGTGTATACTTGTGATGCAGTCCTGGTTGTCACATTGTGTTTCACCCAAACAGTTTTGATGTTAACCTAGCAACTGATAAACACTTTCTTGTTCACTATGTGCAGGCTAACTTGCAACTGTAATGCAATGAATCAAGACATTATCTCAAAATCTAATGTGGTCTAGTGTTTTGATCGGTAGCAAAACGCTGTATCCACCGCTGCCTCAGAAACCAATGTGTCAAAACTCTCACAAGAAACACTTCACACTGGCTGAGCAGATTGCCTCGTATCAGATTTGGCATGGAAGATGGAGCAGCACTGTGTAACGAAGATCTGTCCTGTTGATAGAAACTTGATAGAAAGTTAGCTCAATCATGGAGAGAGCTTGTTTGACTTGCAATATCTCAGGACTTTGGGACCCTAAACAGCTCTTTGCAGAGAGAAGTGTGTCACAGGTGTAATTACAGCCTCAGAGAAATACATAGCAACCATCTGCACCAACGTGTCTCATATTAAAACTAGATGCCACAATGTCACATGCTATGTTCTGTGACACTAATTTAATAGTACCCTAACACACACGCAACATCTTCATTTTGCTTCAGTCTAGACTGCCCTGATATTATATTAAATTCTAGTGTTCAAAGTATTGTATGTAATGAATATTAAATGCTTGTAATTGCAGTGTGTAGGATGGATACATTTCCATAATAACACTGCCATACCCCTTACAGAACGTGTTATACAGAATTTAGACAGCACACACTGTCATACTGTATACATTTTGTTAGATTGTTCTGTGGAATGTTTTTGGCCACAGCACAGTTTCTGTAAGGATGTTTTCTAAAATGTATCAGATGTGTTAATGCAAATTCAGAGAGACCAATATCCCCAGAAAACACATGTCTTTAATAGTTGCTGCTTTAACAAAGTTGTCTTTCTGATCATGATGTGTATTATAGTGCTCACTATTGCAGAAAAGACAATCAGGGAATTTTCTATTCAGTGATTCACCAGCAAATTGTTGATAAGCTTTGCTTGTCTATATATTTGATAATTATATACATAATTGTAGTAACAATAAATAATTAAAAGGGGTTACTGTTCATGATGCATGATTTTCATTGCATTTTTTAATTAAGATTGCAAGACATCGGCTAATTAAGTTATTGTTAATTATTATTTAACTGCATATGACCAGAGTCCAGTAAACACCTAATATAGGCAATATATTATATGTCTGTTTTAGCTGTGAATATCAGTTATTGAAACTGGTAGTCATCATTTTCTGAGTGGAAGAAGTGTCTCTGACTGAGGAGTTACTGTCAGGTCGAGACTTGCAGGTCAAAGCCAAGGACCACAGGAACAAGAACACACCTGAGAAGACAAGAGAAAGGTTGTGAACTCTCCCAGCAAATCATAAGAGCACAGTGTGTATGATATGTGGATGGTGCACATACTGACCCTGCAGGGAGTTTATTATAGTGAACGCATAGATCCCAGGGAGGGAAATGTAGGTGGTGCTGGCTAACCCCCAAGGTAAGCCCAGCACACAGCTGAGGCCCAGCACTGTGGCACAGTCCTTCCACAGCCTGCTCCTTTTCTCCTTGTTCACCTTCTTCCAGCCACTGCTGCTCTCAGTGCCTCCACGGTCTCTCCTTAGCTCCCAGAGCTTAAACACCACCAGCCCCAGCATGCAGGAATTATACAGTATCACCAGGCACGGGAGGGCCACAGTAGTGATGTAGCTGACTAAAAGCCTCTGTGGGAACTGGCTGCTCATCCAGCATCTGCAGGTTATTAACAAAACAAAGTCCAATTTGATTTAAATAAAGTTAACTTTGAATTGCACAAAGCAGAGCACCGTTAGAAGCACAGTATGTGTTTGCTAAGGAGTCAGACTTTCTGTGTATGCAAACAATGAATCTTGGTTT